GCGGGTAAAATCCGTGTTGACGGGTTTTGGGCCGGGTTCGGGTTTAAACCTGCTACACTATTCACCAGGTCGGGTTGGGTTTGGGTTTAGGTAAACCCGCCCCATGGGTACCCGCTCACACACATATTATTAATTTCTCGGTATATTTAATATTCTAAATAATATATCTTCCTTAAACAACTAATATTCTTTATGTTTGTGGAGACATGTATAATTTGTTCTTTCTAATTGTTTAGAATGAAGTTGATATTATGAAGTGAAGAGTGAAGAAACTTAGTTGATGAGGAAGAAGCTTTCAATTAATCTTATTGTTTATAGATGTTTATCTTTAATTTTGAACAATTTGTATTTTGATCATTTGCGGTTTGCTTGTATGCTCTAAATGGTGTTTTTTGTATGAATAATTTGTATGAGAAAATTGATGTTAAACTTTTATTTTGAAATATACTTGTTATTTTAAATTTTTTACCACAAAAACCCACGGGTACCCATGAACCCGCGGATACCCAGCGGGTTGGGTTGGGTTTGAGTTTTTCAAACCCAACGGGTTTTACCCTGGGTTTTTTTGGCGGAGAAACCCATGGGTTTAGGTTTGGGTTTGACAAAACCCGCCCCAACCCGACCCATTGCCATCTCTATTCAGAAGGGATATCGGTTGTTTGATTTATCATCGAGCAAGTTTTACACTTCGCGTGACGTTCATTTTGTGGAGGACGTTTTCCCGTTCGCGGAGACAGCTCCCACTTTGTTGCCATCACCTCCTGTTGTTTCTTCAGTGGAGGATGGTGCGATGATGCCCACATCGCCTCTCGTGCATGGCCATGCAGGGGGCGAGTCCACTCCTTCCTCTTCGCCAGCAGCCGAGACGAAACACTCGTCACCAGTGCTTCCTGTTAGTCCTCCAGCTGCTGCAGGTCAAGTTGAACCTCCTGCAGCTCAAGTCGAGCCTTCTGTGGCTAGTCCCCACCGCAGTAATCGAGCTCGCCAGGTTTCTCGACGTTTGGATGGTTATGAGCATGAATTGCCTCCATCAAATGTTCAATATCCGATGGCTAATTATGTGGGCTATCAAACTTTTTCCCCTCGGCATCAGAGTTTTCTGGCTGCGGTTTCTAGTCAGTCTGAGCCAAGCCATTGGCGTGAAGCTATGCGCTACGAAGAATGGCGGGTTTCCATACATCGCGAGATTGATGCCCTCGTTGGAAATGGTACATGGACTCTAGTTAGTTTGCCTCCAGGAAAACGTGTTGTTGCTTCTCGATGGGTCTACAAAATTAAGTTCAATGCAGACGGTTCAGTTGAGCGGTATAAGGCTCGTTTTGTTGCTAAAGGCTTTACACAGACGAAAGGGATTGATTACCATGACACATTTGCTCCTGTGGCGAAACTTGTTAGTGTTCGGTGTCTGCTTGCTGTTGCTGCAGTTCGTGGCTGGGTGGTTCACCAGCTTGATGTTGATAACGCTTTTTTTCATGGCGATCTCCATGAGGAAGTTTATATGCAAATACCGCCGGGTTTTGCAGCTCTTGGCGATTCGCGAGTTTGTCGCCTTCACAAGTCCATCTATGGACTCAAGCAGGCTTCTCGTAACTGGTATGCCAAGTTTGCATCCACTCTCATTGGTCTTGGTTTTCGTCGCTCTCGAGCATATTACTCTCTCTTTGTTCGTCACAGTCAGGGCACATATGTTGCTGCTCTCATTTATGTGGTTGATGTCATACTAGCGGGTGATGATCTAGTCTTCATTCAGAAGGTCAAGGATGCCCTCCATAGTCAGTTTGGGATCAAGAATCTCGGTCCTCTGAAATATTTCCTTGGCATAGAGGTTGACCGCTCTAAGGCTGGCATTGCGCTTTGTCACCGGAAGTATACATTGGATCTTCTTCGAGACAGTGGTCTTACAGGTGGTCGTCCAAGTAATTTTCCCATTGAGCATCATCATCAGCTCACTCGTCATGATGACACATCTGTCCCGGTCTCTTCGGATGATGTAGCTGCTTATCGTCGTCTAATTGGTCGATTACAGTATCTCATAGTCACTCATCTATATATTGTCTATGCTGTCAACATTCTTAGTCGGTATGTTCATGCTCCCACCTCCGCGCATGTTGTTGGTGCTGAGTGCGTTTTACGGTATCTCAATAATGCGCCGGGTCAGGGCATTCTATTGCCTTCGCATGGTCCGCTCCATTTAACTGCTTACTAGGATGCGAACTGGGGAGGTTGTCAGTCTACTCGTCGTTCGCCATCTGGGTATTTTGTCACTTTGGGTGGTGCGCCGGTTTCTTGGCGAACCAAAAAGCAGCATGTGGTGGCTCGGTCCTCTGCTAAAGCTGAGTATCGTGCTATGGCTAGCACGTTCAGTGAGGTTATATGGCTTCGTGCACTTCTGCACGACATGGGTGTCTCTTGTTCCAGTCCTACAGTTCTCTACTGTGACAATCAATCAGTTCTGCATATTGCTGCTAATCCAGTCTTCCATGAGCGTACGAAGCATGTTGAGCTTGATTGCTACTTCGTTCTTGATCATGTCACTTCCAGCGAGATCCTTCCTCAGAAGATTCACACTGATGTGCAGCTAGCGAATCTCTTTACGAAAGGTTTTGGTGGTGATCGTTTTCATTCGCTTCTATCCAAGCTGGGCATTTGTAACCTTCATACCTCAGCTTGTGGGGGAGTGTAATGGGTTGTGTAGTACGCAGTCGTGTAGGCTAGAGGGGCTTTGAGTCTTTTCCCCTTGGCCGCCGACTAATTATTGTAACCCTAGGGTTTGGCTTGTTGATTAGGGGTTACATATATATTTGTTGTAAGTGTATCGGCTGCCTAAAAGCTGAGATAACATAACTTCTCCGTAGAGTAAGCTCATTTACACTGAGACTGTGTTGTGTGTTTTGCATACTCGTGTTCACAAATATTTCAGTGTCTGGACGGGCCGACGAATTCTGGCCGCTGGCACCAAAGCCAGCCGAAAAAGTCCAACGGCCAAAACAGGAGCTTGCCGAACGTAATCTTTGAGCCGCCAATTGATCCCTCCGATAATCTTTCCTAGTAAATATTATATATATATAATGCGGGGCAAGCCGAATGATATATTCCATCGAATATATTGATTATTCCCAAAATAAAGCTTAAGCTGACTTGCCGGGCCGAGGAAGATGTTCAGCCGGCACCTGGTTCCGGCCGTTAGTTTCCTTCGATTGGGCCAGGTTTCGATGGTGAGCCATTGCAACATATTATAACCGGCCGATTCCCCCGTATCGCTATATGCCGTTTAATTTGCTAGGTGGTATTGGAATATAAACTTCACCATCACCACTATATGGAAAGGTCGAGTTATAATTAAACGGTCGAGATCCCTCTGGATTTCTTCTTCTTGTTTTCTCCAATTCGTGCCAATAGGCTATATGCCTCCTTTTTAATCGTTTATACCTTGGCCGGTCTTGTTACATATGTAGCAAAAAGGAAACCATCCACATCCACACACTTTGATTATTCATTCTTCTAATAAACTACAAATCCGACGTATACATCTTCCATTAAGTTCAGCAATTATGTATATGGAATACATTGTTAAGAAAATACTATTATGGGTTTGAAAGCCTCAACGGGAAGCGACCCGAACCACCACTAGGAATGACAATGGGTAGGTTTGGGCGGGATATCTCGATACTCATATCCGTCTCGTATCAGGTTGGGTCCAAATTGGATAATTTATCATGGGACGTGTGTCAAGGTAGGTCGACCCAATGAGTATGTAATTTATATGGAAAACATTCCATTATTTTTATTAGTAACCAAGAAACAAACCATAATACGATAAATGTAGTTAAATTATCGGAGAAATTGAGATTTTCACTTATTTATAACTTTATGATAGCTAAAATATAAGGTAATAAAAGGAAAATCCTATATAATTTGACGAAGATTACATTTAATTTAGCCAAGAACAGGTCGAGAATTAGGGGTGGCTGAACGATTTCCGGTTAGCAGGTAACTGGTCGGTTACGATCGAACTGACCAGTTTTTGACTAACCGAAAACCGCCCCCATCTTGCCACGGTCGGTTGTCGGAGCAAAGGGGAAAGAGGTTGGCTACCCGAGAAACCGACGGCGAAAACCGTCATGACCGGGTAACCGACCCCTTTCCCCTTTCCTCCGAAAACGACCCCAAATCCTAAAAACGACCAAATCCCAACCTAACCATAACCTTCTCCCCATCTCTCCCTCTTGTCTCCCCCAACCGTCACCTGAAGCCAGGCCCCAGCCAACCACCACCCCTCCCCGACGACCCCGCCTTCCACCCTCCGTCGGCCGCGAGCCAGCTGACAGTAGAGACAGGGAGCGGCGGCGGCAGATCAGAATCAGATGGAGGAAGAAGAGGAATCGACGGCGAAGCTTGGGTGCGGCGGCGGCAGATCCAGAATCGGATGGGGAAATAAGAGTAATCGGCGACGGAGCATGGGTGCGAGAAGGTGCGGCGGCGGCGGAGCCTCAATGCGGATGCGAGGTTGGAGGAGATGAGGAGAGATGAAGATTGAAGATGAGGAGAGAGGAAGAGTCGGGTGATTCAACTCCCTGTCTCCCTTTTAGTTTTTTATCATGCAATTAAATAATTATTAAAATAAAAAAAATTCCGGTTACCATGGCTAACCGAGTCAAAACCGATTAACCGATTGGTCGATAGTCGGTTAGTCGTGGCTTCCTTACCGGTCGGTGATCGGCAGCTCTAATGGGACGGATCAGGACAAGTCGGGTCAATGAGAGTACCAATCTCGCCCCAACCGCACCCCACCTACGAAACGGGTCAGACACACCTTAAAACAGGCCAAACAAACGACGTAAAACGAATTAAATCGAAATTGCCATTCCTACCCACCAGGCCACCACCCTCCTCCGCCTATAAATTCGCTCTCACAAACCCAATCCTCCTCCGTCGCAAACCAATCCCACCACAAAGTTAATCACCTATTAAATTAACTCATCCCATACATAATTATTATCATGGGTTCCATAGCCAACGAGAACAATGAGACGCCGACGCCGCTGCTGATCAGCGGCTTCACCGTGACGGTGGTGAAGAAGGAGCTGGTGGCGGCCGCGCTGCCGGTTCAGGAGCATTGGCTCCCGCAGTCCAACCTCGACCTGCTCGTGCTGCCGTTGGACGTCGGGGTATTCTTCTGTTACTCCACGGCGCCGGCGGGCGGCAGAGATGCCGCGGTGGCCGGGCTGAAGAATGGGCTGGCGCAAGTGCTGGTGTCGTACTACGCCTTGGCCGGCGAGGTGGTGATGAGCTCCAGCGGGGAGCCGGAGCTGCTGTGCAACAACCGTGGGGTGGAGTTCTCTGAGGCTTACGCTGACGTGGAGCTCAGGGAGCTTGACTTGTATAAGCCGGACGAATCCGTTGGAGGCAAGCTTGTTCCTCGTAAGAAGGACGGCGTTTTGGCTGTTCAGGTATATATAATTAATTAATATATATATATCTCTTCTCTGATTTTCTTTTAGGCCCAATTTTTTTTTTTTTTTTTTTTATAAGTGTGAAACCTTAAGGCCCAATTTTAATAATGAGAAAATGTTGGGAAAAAAATCATTATACTATTTTCTTGTTACCCTAGATTTTGAGTTCGCCACTAAAGGGGTAGATGAGTAGAAAGAACGATCAAGTTTTAGGTTTCATTTATTGAAGTATAAAAAAGATTTTTTCTGCAATAACATGATTAAATTTTGATGACCATTGACACAAGTCATTTTAATTAAATTTGGATGGATAATTGACGACACAAATTATGATGATGAAATTTGAGTGAACAAGTAATGAGACAACTCACTCTCTAACAAACAAGTGATGAATCTATGATTATCTGAACCAATTATTGTATTTTTTCATGACATCATATTTACTTACGAGCAAATGATGTTAGAATTTTAAAAGTTACATTATTACATTCATCTTAATTAATTATTGCTATTTATATAAAAATAATGAATAATTATAGAAATAAATTAATAGAATCTACTCTAAACTAAATTGAGATAATTGAAACTAAATTATGAGATTTAGACTCTCCCTGTTGGAGCAAAACACGTAATGGTGGATGCAAATTCGTCCACAAAATTTTACACTTGGCCCACTCAATAGAGATGGTCTCACACGGTAAAATACATACCTTCAATCCATATCTGATAAATCTTCCAATTTTCTATATTGTAATGTAATTCTCAATTATATTTTTGGGTAAATATTGTGACTCACATGCACATATTTAATCTTCTGATCTGTCAAATGTTGTCCTAAAATTACTAAATGACATTCTAAATTGAAGACATATATTAAATAGGGCTGTGTTTGTTTGTTCAAAATATATTAAATAGGGCTGGAGGTTCGGTTATTTCGGTTATAACCGGTAACCAAACGGTCGGTTACGGTTAACCCCGATGCAAGGAAACTATACCGCCAACCGACTGACCACCTTCCTTGGTTATCCGACAACCGACCGGTCGGTTACCGGTTAGTTGGTCGGTTAACCGAGGAAACCGCATAGCCCAGATGGTTCGTGGATTGGAGTGGACCGTGGCTGGTGACTAGTGACTGCTCAGCGGAGGAAATGTGGCGGGGGACTATCGCTGGCGGCAGAGTCGGGAAGTTGGTCGGGGAGGAGATGGCGGAGTAGCCGAGCAGGGGCGCGGGTCGGCGAGGGAGATGGCATCGTCGCTCTGGTCGCGGCGTCGTCTGAAGTCACTGACTTACTGCTGTTGCCTGGGAAGAAGAGAGAATGAGATGGATTGGAGGTTGAGGGACGAGATGGAGTCGGCGGAGGGTTTGCGGCGGGGACTGGTGCTGGTGGCGGAGGAACAACGGCGGCCGTCGGGGGACTGTGTGGCTGGGCGGCGAGTGGGCGTCGTCGATACAGAGAAGGGAAGGAAGGATGAAGTCGATTCGGCAAATTGGGGAAGGAAGACGAAGTCGAAGCTGAATTAGGGTTAGGCAGGCGTCGTTTTGGTGAAACGCTGAAGAGTGGGAGGGGGCGGCGTCGTTTTTTGAAGGGGGGTTGGCCGTGTCGGTTATCCAGTTAACCGGCGATTAGATCCGTCGGTTAGCCGGTTAACCGCCACCTCCAATATCCCTACCGAGCACCGCCCACGTACATCTTTTTCGGTTAGTCGGTTAACCGGTAACCGCCGGTTATCGGTCTAACCGATCGATTAACCGACAACCGAACCTCCCGCCCTAATATTAAATAATTGCCCCTTTTAATTTTGAATTATACAAATCATCAAAACACTCTATAGTCTATAGCCTCTACCCTATTCCGAAACCTCTAGCCCTAATCTCTCCCCAGGGCCCAGGGGCGACAAACCAATCTCTCTCACTTCCAAAGTTTTGGATCCCGCCGAGATATGTCACCAAAGAAGAGAAGAAGACAACCTGAAAGACGAGAGGAGAAGGCGCCATAATGATTGGATTCCTCTCCAACTCTCATGACCTCATTGCCTATGCTCCACTTTCAAGGTTTTGCGTCTTGCCCCAATCTGTCGTCAGAGAAGAGAAGAAGACAACCTGAACTTAAGTCCTCACCACCCTTTTGTTGCTGAAAAACAAGGTTAATTATAATGCAGCAGCTAGATTCCTCTCTAACTCGTACGCAACAATCTATAGCCAAAGAAGATAAGAAGACGACATGAACTTATCTCGTCGCCGACCCTTCGTTACTGGAGAAGAAGGTCAGATCAATTGTAGAAGATTGTAGGACCTAAAACGGGGTTTTTGTTTGATCATAGGTGAATCGAATATTTCTGCAATAAGATCATAAGTGAACTAAAAGTTTACTTCGGCTTGACCGAAGGCCAAACGAAACTATGTTTGCACCATGACCATCCGAAACCCATTTTTTCTTCGATCGCTTGCCAACCGAAGGTTGACTTTGATTTGAAAATGGACGAACCAAAGTTTGACCATGGTTCAGTCAAATTATTTATATATTAATTCATTTTTCAAAATTTTACATATTATAATTGAACTTAAATGTTTTCCTGAATATTTTCGAGTTTTTTTTTATGCGAAAGGTGTGTTTGTTAGGTGAAAATTAGAGATATGAAGGTAAAAGGGTAAGACACTAATTTTGACATTTTTAGAGCTATATTTGGAGATTTTAATAATCCTACTATTGTTTCTATCACTGTTAAATTTTAGCGGTAAACTGAAATTCCAAATTTTGCGCTATGTAGGTGACAGGACTGAGATGCGGGGGAATCATGGTGGGATGCTCGTTCGACCACCGCATCGCCGACGCTTACTCTTTCAACATGTTCCTAGTCTCATGGGCCGAATCGGCCCGGTCCGAGCCCATCTCCGTCCACCCTTCGTTTCGCCGCTCTCTGGTCAACCCTCGCCACCCACGGCCACTGTCCTCCAACCCGATCCTCGATGACATGTACATCCCAGTTTCCTCCCTCCCGCCGCCATCCTCCTCCGACGACCGGCCTACCCTAAAAAGCCGAATATACCACGTCAAATCCGAGGAGTTGGTCAAACTACAGGACCTTGCCAACACACATGGGAACAAGAAGAATCGTTTCTCGAAGCTGGAGTCGTTTTGCGCACACCTCTGGAAGCTGGTGGCGAAATCTGCCCGCAAAGACGACGTCGTGTCGAAGTTGGGGATCGTGGTGGACGGTCGATCTAGATTGGGGGACCAGATGATGAGGGCCTACTTTGGGAACGTGATTTCAGTTCCGTACGGGGGGAGGCGCGTGGATGAGCTGGACGGGAGCTCGCTGGGCCAGGTGGCCGGTTGGGCCCACGAGTTTCTGGAGCGTGGGGCGAACCGGGAGCACTTCGTGGAGCTCATTGACTGGGTGGAGGTTCATAGGCCGGAGCCGACCATGCCGGAGATAGTTGGCATCGGTAGTGCGGAAGGGCCGGCGTTGGTCGTGTCGTCCGGCCGTGGGTTCCCGGTGAGCCGGGTGGATTTCGGGTGGGGTCCGCCGACTTTTGGGTCGTATCATTTTCCATGGGGTAGCACGGCTGGGTATGTGATGCCAATGCCTAGCCCGAACGGGGAAGGGGATTGGATGGTATACATGTATATGCTCAAAGAGCAGTTGGAGTTGATTGAGAGAGAGGCTGCCTCTGTTTTTAGGCCGTTCACTTGGGACTATGTCGTATGATTAAGTTTATACTTATACTTATCATAATTTTAAGAACTAGTATCACTACAACACCTGAACTATAAAAAAAAATATTGTTTTTTATTACTATGTGTTATGATAATATTGTCCTGAACTATGTGAGTGTCTTCTTATTTATGTTCTCATGTTTCCCGTTGCCATTAAAATGAATAGTTAACTGGATGAAAGTCAAACCATGTTTAACTATCGATGACATGACCGAACGTAGGCACTATGCCAAAAAAATAATATAAAATATTTTTTTTCCTTAAAGTGTTTATTTTGCTTTAATATTTTTAATAAAACATTCAGGTCGGGGTTATGAGGATTTCTCAATAGAAACTCTCGCACACATACTTTGGATACATTGTTCGACGCTCTCGATTAGAGAATTCCCTTGATAGCGAATTGTGAAACGCTTATAGAAATGGAAATAGAGTCATTGAGTCCTTCGTTATGCTACCTCTTATAGAGAGATCCTTCAAGTATTGGGGCTGCGCTACAGTTACAATACTCCTCGGGGAGGGACTGGTGGTGGTTCGGTGGTTGCCTCCATCGACACTCTTGGTGAGTTTCGTTGCACTCCTTGATGTTTCGCCAGGTCCTCATTCTTTACTGTAGCAAATCGTATTGCCTCCCTCACCATATCTAGCTTATTAACACAATTAATCCTTTGAGCCCACCAATGCCTCTTTCGTTCATCCATAAAATCAATTTGCCAATCTCTCAAAGGTTAAGAGAAAGTCACTCAAAGATCCCGTTTGTTTTAACTTGGCGAGAGCCTCGTGACTCGAGGCACTATCTGATGACCCAAACCTGGCTCATAACTCCTCTCCAAACCTGGGGCCAACTCATCATCATCCTTGTAGTGACATAGCTTCAGTTCAACCATCGTCAACATTAATTGGAGTCACCCTCCATGTGATAAGATGCTAGTAGCAACTAGCACCAATGTTGTCAGAACCGAACCGAAATATGACCCGATAATGTCAACGGTTCACACTTTAGCGGTCCAATCAGTACTAAATCATTAAAAACCTGTTAGAATACCGATATGTTATAAACGATAATGTCATAAGTAGAAGACACATAAGCTAATAACTTGACAATTTAATGGCTAAACTGAAATGTACTTTCCATGTACCACTTAACAATTTTACATATTATATATACTAGAAAACCCTACACCATTACGCGGTCGCTCCATTGTTCATTTTCCTTCTTCTTCTTCTTTCTTCTTCTTTCTTCTTCTTTCTTCCGTATTCCTCCTACTCCACCGCTCCCAACTCCACCACCAGTCCACAATCGCTACGCTTCGTCGCCGCTGTCTGCCAACTAAAATCACCACCGTCCCTCCTCAGCCTCCTCACTCTATTATCTCCCTTTGCCAAAATTGAAAATCTCCTCTGTCAAACCCAATTGAGACAAACTGACAAGTTTATTGATCTGAACTTTTGGAAGAATAAATACAAGCTCTAATCCTGTAATCACGGCTACCATTAACCACACTAACCCGTTTCCCCTTGATTCCTGCTAACAAGAAACAGCTAAAACCTATAACAAACTAACAGACTTGCTCCCACGTTTCCACTACGCAAGAAACTCGGACTGTACTTATTTGACACAAAATTGAACTAAACAGAAAGACACTAAAACGGCACAGCTTGACTTCTAAGTCTAAAAGCCTTATTTGAGCTTCAACTTTGGCGTCACGATTCCAATCCTTCTGCACAAGGATTCCAACCCCAACATATCCTCCCCTGAACTGAAGCATCTGACAAGCCTTCAGTTCACACTTCCTCTCCACTTTGCCGTTTCTCAGTAGCAGTCTTGAGATACTTCCACCATTAGCTCCATGTCTCTCGAATGTCTCCAGCACCACTAGGCTACTTGATTCATAATTCCAAAGTGTTCCAGCATAATGTTCAATTCCGTCTCTTTCCTTCTTCAAGCATTCCTCAGACTTCAACATGTACGCTGGACAAGAGTCATCCACAGTACAATTTGAATCCTTGAGATTGTAGTACACGCTTGTATATTCCAGCATTGGAGACTCAAAATCTCCCTCATGTTCCTTATCAATAAAAATAATGACAGCAATTCTTGCTTTCCCACTTGTTTCTATATGCACCAGAGAATTGAGGCAGGTAAAGCCAACTTCATTAAGTGCTGGAAGTGACATCCAAACAATAAAGTAGCGATCAAAATAATGAAAGAAGTGAGACAGCCACCTAACCATGAGTTCATGATTCTCCCATATTTTCACAAGTTCCCTCATCATAAACTCGTCACGCTTCTCCCTGATAGCTGGCAGCGCAAAGGAACTAATGCTCTCTTCTACCGAGCCCTCCATAATCCTTTTCAACTTCTCAGTTACATACTTCCAGATTAACTCTAACCCTTCAACATTCTGTACCCCCAACACTCCTTGGAAATATCTCATCAATCTAAACATATTCACAACATGCCTAGCCTGCATAAACTCTTTGAGCACAGTTAATCTCATCTTTGCTTTGAAGTGAGCAGCCCTTTGAGAATCTAATGATCTACCTCTGCAACAAACATCATGTATCGAGCCAGTTGAAACACCAACTGCAAAGTTGATAGGAGCAGCTTCAAACTGAGAGAAACTGCTGCAAAACCAGTTCTATAACCATCCAATCCAGCTGCATATTTGATCAAGCTAGCTACATTTGAGTAGTTGACCACACAAACTGCAATTACCCATTTAGAACCTGATGACAGCAACAAACAAACTGCAAACCCAACTGTGTAATTGTCTTTTTGACTTCCTTTATACTGAATACTAGAGACCAGCATAATCTTAAGCACCATCTTGCCAGCCACATAATCCACATATAAACTGAATTGCCGATTCAAATGATATTCTTTAAAGACTAAAGCATGATCATAATAGTCGGCTAACAATGAGTATCTTCCAACCTTGTTGTACCATGATATGGTTGTGCACTTCAAGGCATATAATGTCTTCTTGATGCTGCATGTCTTTATGAACAAATCATGTCCATAACCACTCATTGAACAGTACAAGGTTACATTATGCTTCTCTTCCTCCCCTGCAACCATAAAATTTTGGGGTTGCACCACAAGCTCACTCTTCACAGCTAGCTGCTGCATATTCCCTTCAGCCACTGAGATAAAATTGTACTTATCCACCTCTATTTTCTCATCCTCTATGTCAGCGGGTGATTCTGATAGAGACTTGAATGCTTTACTTGAGAAAGAAGGAGAAGGATCTTCATTTTGAGATGAATCTGTTGTGCCTGGAGTTGCTGCAGTGCCATCATCCTTTTCAGTTTCTGGATCGTACCTGTCATTTTTACTTCCTTCCCAATGCCAACCCTTTAGATCTGGTAAATCTTGCACCATGTTCTTCTTTTTTAAATCTGGTAGTCCTTTTCCATATTGCTTATGCCAAGGATCCAGATTTCCAACTTCAACCTCATCTACAAGATTCTGCACTTCAGTTGTTACAGTATCAGTTGGGATATGCATATCTCTTACTGTGATACATGTTGCTGATGCTGTGACTCCAGTTGATGAATATATCTCTGGTACCTCTTGATCAACAACAGTTCTACTACCTATTTCAGAACCATCAATTGGTCCTTGATCAATTTGCATGAACAAGCACTTCACTTCAGTGGCAGTTTGTGATACAACTAACTCAGGATATATCACAAACATCTTGTTGAATTTCATCTTTGTCTGCATCACTAAACCTTTCTCATCATGAAAATTTTTGCAAACCCCACCCTTGATGAGAAATGTCAAGCCTTTATCTTGCATCTGACCTATACTCAACAAGTTGGTTATTAATCCAGGGACATAAAACACATTTTTAATCACAAAGTTTCTTCCTTCCACTTTCATCTTTATGACTCCCTTTCCTTGCACTTGAAGTCTAGTACCATTGCCTAACTTAACACTGCAACTAAAGCAAGAATCAATAGAGTCAAATAGTTGTTTGTTACCACTCATATGATTACTGCATCCTGAGTCTAGAAGCCAGCAACGTCCTCTCTTTTCCAGCTGCATTCCTTCTCTTTTCTCTAACTCCATTCCTTCTTCTTGCTGAACAGAAGCCAGCAGTAGCACATTCTCTGTCATGTCTTTGTAGGATCTGACTTTCCTTGGGTGAGAACTGGAGTAGTTGGTTTGGCCAGCAGTGTACCAATCAGGGCACTCATTTCTGAAGTGCCCGAGTTTGTGACACATAAAGCACTCCAGAGAATTTCTATTCCAGCCTCTTCCTCTGCCTTGATAGACTCCTCTTCCATGGCATCTGCCACTTCTGCTTTCAGTCTCATGTACAATGCTGAGAGCTTGTTCATCCTCAGACACATATCTTTTACTGAACTTCTGTTCATGTACTATCAGAGAACTCTGAAGTGCGTCAACAGTAAGCAAATCTATGTCTTTGGACTCTTCAATGGAGCAGACTACATAGTTAAACTTCTCAGTTAGAGTTCTAAGTATCTTCTCCACAATCTGAACATCAGTAATGTTCTCTCCACAGTGTCTCATGGAGTTAGCCACCGCCATAACTCTTCCAAAGTACCCATTTATGGTCTCCCCTTCTTTCATTTCCAACAACTCGAAATTCCTTCTCAAAGATTGTAACTGAACCTTCTGGACCCTAGCACTGCCTTGAAACTTAAGTTTCATTGCATCCCAAAGTTCCTTTGAAGTCTTCTTGTTGGTGATTGTCTTGAGTATGGTCCTGTCAATGGAACAGAAGAGGTAATTTTTAGCCATCAAGTCATTCAGCTTCATGTTCCCCAAGCTCTTAGCATCAACAGGAGATAGTTCCTCAGTTGGTGTCGGTTCTTTGTAGCCTTCACTCACAACACCCCAGTACTCCTGTGACCTCAGAAAATTCTCCATCACAAGGCTCCAGTGATCATAGTCACCATCAAATTTTGGAATGCACACCTGTGCAAGGCTTCCATTTTCACTCATCTCACTTCAATCAACTCAGGATCTCTCACTCACTTCAACTTGGGGCTTCAATCACCCCCTATTATAAGATCCTCACTGTTACCTCTCGTGTTTCCCAAATCCCAGCTCTGCAAGCGTACTTGCTAAATTTTTACATAGAACAGTCTCACACAAAAACTTGGTTACAGTTTGCAGAGGCTCTGATACCACAATGTCAAACCCAATTGAGACAAACTGACAAGTTTATTGATCTGAACTTTTGGAAGAATAAATACAAGCTCTAATCCTGTAATCACGGCTACCATTAACCACACTAACCCGTTTCCCCTTGATTCCTGCTAACAAGAAACAGCTGAAACCTATAACAAACTAACAGACCTGCTCCCACGTTTCCACTACGCAAGAAACTCGGACTGTACTTATTTGACACAAAATTGAACTAAACAGAAAGACACTAAAACGGCACAGCTTGACTTCTAAGTCTAAAAGCCTTATTTGAGCTTCAACTTTGGCGTCACGATTCCAATCCTTCTGCACAAGGATTCCAACCCCAACATATCCTCCCCTGAACTGAAGCATCTGACAAGCCTTCAGTTCACACTTCCTCTCCACTTTGCCGTTTCTCAGTAGCAGTCTTGAGATACTTCCACCATTAGCTCCATGTCTCTCGAATGTCTCCAGCACCACTAGGCTACTTGATTCATAATTCCAAAGTGTTCCAGCATAATGTTCAATTCCGTCTCTTTCCTTCTTCAAGCATTCCTCAGACTTCAACATGTACGCTGGACAAGAGTCATCCACAGTACAATTTGAATCCTTGAGATTGTAGTACACGCTTGTATATTCCAGCATTGGAGACTCAAAATCTCCCTCATGTTCCTTATCAATAAAAATAATGACAGCAATTCTTGCTTTCCCACTTGTTTCTATATGCACCAGAGAATTGAGGCAGGTAAAGCCAACTTCATTAAGTGCTGGAAGTGACATCCAAACAATAAAGTAGCGATCAAAATAATGAAAGAAGTGAGACAGCCACCTAACCATGAGTTCATGATTCTCCCATATTTTCACAAGTTCCCTCATCATAAACTCGTCACGCTTCTCCCTGATAGCTGGCAGCGCAAAGGAACTAATGCTCTCTTCTACCGAGCCCTCCAGAATCCTTTTCAACTTCTCAGTTACATACTTCCAGATTAACTCTAACCCTTCAACATTCTGTACCCCCAACACTCCTTGGAAATATCTCATCAATCTAAACATATTCACAACATGCCTAGCCTGCATAAACTCTTTGAGCACAGTTAATCTCATCTTTGCTTTGAAGTGAGCAGCCCTTTGAGAATCTAATGATCTACCTCTGCAACAAACATCATGTATCGAGCCAGTTGAAACACCAACTGCAAAGTTGATAGGAGCAGCTTCAAAACTGAGAGAAACTGCTGCAAAACCAGTTCTATAACCATCCAATCCAGCTGCATATTTGATCAAGCTAGCTACATTTGAGTAGTTGACCACACAAACTGCAATTACCCATTTAGAACCTGATGACAGCAACAAACAAACTGCAAACCCAACTGTGTAATTGTCTTTTTGACTTCCTTTATACTGAATACTAGAGACCAGCATAATCTTAAGCACCATCTTGCCAGCCACATAATCCACATATAAACTGAATTGCCGATTCAAATGATATTCTTTAAAGACTAAAGCATGATCATAATAGTCGGCTAACAATGAGTATCTTCCAACCTTGTTGTACCATGATATGGTTGTGCACTTCAAGGCATATAATGTCTTCTTGATGCTGCATGTCTTTATGAACAAATCATGTCCATAACCACTCATTGAACAGTACAAGGTTACATTATGCTTCTCTTCCTCCCCTGCAACCATAAAATTTTGGGGTTGCACCACAAGCTCACTCTTCACAGCTAGCTGCTGCATATTCCCTTCAGCCACTGAGATAAAATTGTACTTATCCACCTCTATTTTCTCATCCTCTATGTCAGCGGGTGATTCTGATAGAGACTTGAATGCTTTACTTGAGAAAGAAGGAGAAGGATCTTCATTTTGAGATGAATCTGTTGTGCCTGGAGTTGCTGCAGTGCCATCATCCTTTTCAGTTTCTGGATCGTACCTGTCATTTTTACTTCCTTCCCAATGCCAACCCTTTAGATCTGGTAAATCTTGCACCATGTTCTTCTTTTTTAAATCTGGTAGTCCTTTTCCATATTGCTTATGCCAAGGATCCAGATTTCCAACTTCAACCTCATCTACAAGATTCTGCACTTCAGTTGTTACAGTATCAGTTGGGATATGCATATCTCTTACTGTGATACATGTTGCTGATGCTGTGACTCCAGTTGATGAATATATCTCTGGTACCTCTTGATCAACAACAGTTCTACTACCTATTTCAGAACCATCAATTGGTCCTTGATCAATTTGCATGAACAAGCACTTCACTTCAGTGGCAGTTTGTGATACAACTAACTCAGGATATATCACAAACATCTTGTTGAATTTCATCTTTGTCTGCATCACTAAACCTTTCTCATCATGAAAATTTTTGCAAACCCCACCCTTGATGAGAAATGTCAAGCCTTTATCTTGCATCTGACCTATACTCAACAAGTTGGTTCTTAATCCAGGGACATAAAACACATTTTTAATCACAAAGTTTCTTCCTTCCACTTTCATCTTTATGACTCCCTTTCCTTGCACTTGAAGTCTAGTACCATTGCCTAACTTAACACTGCAACTAAAGCAAGAATCAATAGAGTCAAATAGTTGTTTGTTACCACTCATATGATTACTGCATCCTGAGTCTAGAAGCCAGCAACGTCCTCTCTTTTCCAGCTGCATTCCTTCTCTTTTCTCTAACTCCATTCCTTCTTCTTGCTGAACAGAAGCCAGCAGTAGCACATTCTCTGTCATGTCTTTGTAGGATCTGACTTTCCTTGGGTGAGAACTGGAGTAGTTGGTTTGGCCAGCAGTGTACCAATCAGGGCACTCATTTCTGAAGTGCCCGAGTTTGTGACACATAAAGCACTCCAGAGAATTTCTATTCCAGCCTCTTCCTCTGCCTTGATAGACTCCTCTTCCATGGCATCTGCCACTTCTGCTTTCAGTCTCATGTACAATGCTGAGAGCTTGTTCATCCTCAGACACATATCTTTTACTGAACTTCTGTTCATGTACTATCAGAGAACTCTGAAGTGCGTCAACAGTAAGCAAATCTATGTCTTTGGACTCTTCAATGGAGCAGACTACATAGTTAAACTTCTCAGTTAGAGTTCTAAGTATCTTCTCCACAATCTGAACATCAGTAATGTTCTCTCCACAGTGTCTCATGGAGTTAGCCACCGCCATAACTCTTCCAAAGTACCCATTTATGGTCTCCCCTTCTTTCATTTCCAACAACTCGAAATTCCTTCTCAAAGATTGTAACTGAACCTTCTGGACCCTAGCACTGCCTTGAAACTTAAGTTTCATTGCATCCCAAAGTTCCTTTGAAGTCTTCTTGTTGGTGATTGTCTTGAGTATGGTCCTGTCAATGGAACAGAAGAGGTAATTTTTAGCCATCAAGTCATTCAGCTTCATGTTCCCCAAGCTCTTAGCATCAACAGGAGATAGTTCCTCAGTTGGTGTCGGTTCTTTGTAGCCTTCACTCACAACACCCCAGTACTCCTGTGACCTCAGAAAATTCTCCATCACAAGGCTCCAGTGATCATAGTCACCATCAAATTTTGGAATGCACACCTGTGCAAGGCTTCCATTTTCACTCATCTCACTTCAATCAACTCAGGATCTCTCACTCACTTCAACTTGGGGCTTCAATCACCCCCTATTATAAGATCCTCACTGTTACCTCTCGTGTTTCCCAAATCCCAGCTCTGCAAGCGTACTTGCTAAATTTTTACATAGAACAGTCTCACACAAAAACTTGGTTACAGTTTGCAGAGGCTCTGATACCACAATGTCAAACCCAATTGAGACAAACTGACAAGTTTATTGATCTGAACTTTTGGAAGAATAAATACAAGCTCTAATCCTGTAATCACGGCTACCATTAACCACACTAACCCGTTTCCCCTTGATTCCTGCTAACAAGAAACAGCTGAAACCTATAACAAACTAACAGACCTGCTCCCACGTTTCCACTACGCAAGAAACTCGGACTGTACTTATTTGACACAAAATTGAACTAAACAGAAAGACACTAAAACGGCACAGCTTGACTTCTAAGTCTAAAAGCCTTATTTGAGCTTCAACTTTGGCGTCACGATTCCAATCCTTCTGCACAAGGATTCCAACCCCAACATATCCTCCCCTGAACTGAAGCATCTGACAAGCCTTCAGTTCACACTTCCTCTCCACTTTGCCGTTTCTCAGTAGCAGTCTTGAGATACTTCCACCATTAGCTCCATGTCTCTCGAATGTCTCCAGCACCACTAGGCTACTTGATTCATAATTCCAAAGTGTTCCAGCATAATGTTCAATTCCGTCTCTTTCCTTCTTCAAGCATTCCTCAGACTTCAACATGTACGCTGGACAAGAGTCATCCACAGTACAATTTGAATCCTTGAGATTGTAGTACACGCTTGTATATTCCAGCATTGGAGACTCAAAATCTCCCTCATGTTCCTTATCAATAAAAATAATGACAGCAATTCTTGCTTTCCCACTTGTTTCTATATGCACCAGAGAATTGAGGCAGGTAAAGCCAACTTCATTAAGTGCTGGAAGTGACATCCAAACAATAAAGTAGCGATCAAAATAATGAAAGAAGTGAGACAGCCACCTAACCATGAGTTCATGATTCTCCCATATTTTCACAAGTTCCCTCATCATAAACTCGTCACGCTTCTCCCTGATAGCTGGCAGCGCAAAGGAACTAATGCTCTCTTCTACCGAGCCCTCCAGAATCCTTTTCAACTTCTCAGTTACATACTTCCAGATTAACTCTAACCCTTCAACATTCTGTACCCCCAACACTCCTTGGAAATATCTCATCAATCTAAACATATTCACAACATGCCTAGCCTGCATAAACTCTTTGAGCACAGTTAATCTCATCTTTGCTTTGAAGTGAGCAGCCCTTTGAGAATCTAATGATCTACCTCTGCAACAAACATCATGTATCGAGCCAGTTGAAACACCAACTGCAAAGTTGATAGGAGCAGCTTCAAAACTGAGAGAAACTGCTGCAAAACCAGTTCTATAACCATCCAATCCAGCTGCATATTTGATCAAGCTAGCTACATTTGAGTAGTTGACCACACAAACTGCAATTACCCATTTAGAACCTGATGACAGCAACAAACAAACTGCAAACCCAACTGTGTAATTGTCTTTTTGACTTCCTTTATACTGAATACTAGAGACCAGCATAATCTTAAGCACCATCTTGCCAGCCACATAATCCACATATAAACTGAATTGCCGATTCAAATGATATTCTTTAAAGACTAAAGCATGATCATAATAGTCGGCTAACAATGAGTATCTTCCAACCTTGTTGTACCATGATATGGTTGTGCACTTCAAGGCATATAATGTCTTCTTGATGCTGCATGTCTTTATGAACAAATCATGTCCATAACCACTCATTGAACAGTACAAGGTTACATTATGCTTCTCTTCCTCCCCTGCAACCATAAAATTTTGGGGTTGCACCACAAGCTCACTCTTCACAGCTAGCTGCTGCATATTCCCTTCAGCCACTGAGATAAAATTGTACTTATCCACCTCTATTTTCTCATCCTCTATGTCAGCGGGTGATTCTGATAGAGACTTGAATGCTTTACTTGAGAAAGAAGGAGAAGGATCTTCATTTTGAGATGAATCTGTTGTGCCTGGAGTTGCTGCAGTGCCATCATCCTTTTCAGTTTCTGGATCGTACCTGTCATTTTTACTTCCTTCCCAATGCCAACCCTTTAGATCTGGTAAATCTTGCACCATGTTCTTCTTTTTTAAATCTGGTAGTCCTTTTCCATATTGCTTATGCCAAGGATCCAGATTTCCAACTTCAACCTCATCTACAAGATTCTGCACTTCAGTTGTTACAGTATCAGTTGGGATATGCATATCTCTTACTGTGATACATGTTGCTGATGCTGTGACTCCAGTTGATGAATATATCTCTGGTACCTCTTGATCAACAACAGTTCTACTACCTATTTCAGAACCATCAATTGGTCCTTGATCAATTTGCATGAACAAGCACTTCACTTCAGTGGCAGTTTGTGATACAACTAACTCAGGATATATCACAAACATCTTGTTGAATTTCATCTTTGTCTGCATCACTAAACCTTTCTCATCATGAAAATTTTTGCAAACCCCACCCTTGATGAGAAATGTCAAGCCTTTATCTTGCATCTGACCTATACTCAACAAGTTGGTTCTTAATCCAGGGACATAAAACACATTTTTAATCACAAAGTTTCTTCCTTCCACTTTCATCTTTATGACTCCCTTTCCTTGCACTTGAAGTCTAGTACCATTGCCTAACTTAACACTGCAACTAAAGCAAGAATCAATAGAGTCAAATAGTTGTTTGTTACCACTCATATGATTACTGCATCCTGAGTCTAGAAGCCAGCAACGTCCTCTCTTTTCCAGCTGCATTCCTTCTCTTTTCTCTAACTCCATTCCTTCTTCTTGCTGAACAGAAGCCAGCAGTAGCACATTCTCTGTCATGTCTTTGTAGGATCTGACTTTCCTTGGGTGAGAACTGGAGTAGTTGGTTTGGCCAGCAGTGTACCAATCAGGGCACTCATTTCTGAAGTGCCCGAGTTTGTGACACATAAAGCACTCCAGAGAATTTCTATTCCAGCCTCTTCCTCTGCCTTGATAGACTCCTCTTCCATGGCATCTGCCACTTCTGCTTTCAGTCTCATGTACAATGCTGAGATCTTGTTCATCCTCAGACACATATCTTTTACTGAACTTCTGTTCATGTACTATCAGAGAACTCTGAAGTGCGTCAACAGTAAGCAAATCTATGTCTTTGGACTCTTCAATGGAGCAGACTACATAGTTAAACTTCTCAGTTAGAGTTCTAAGTATCTTCTCCACAATCTGAACATCAGTAATGTTCTCTCCACAGTGTCTCATGGAGTTAGCCACCGCCATAACTCTTCCAAAGTACCCATTTATGGTCTCCCCTTCTTTCATTTCCAACAACTCGAAATTCCTTCTCAAAGATTGTAACTGAACCTTCTGGACCCTAGCACTGCCTTGAAACTTAAGTTTCATTGCATCCCAAAGTTCCTTTGAAGTCTTCTTGTTGGTGATTGTCTTGAGTATGGTCCTGTCAATGGAACAGAAGAGGTAATTTTTAGCCATCAAGTCATTCAGCTTCATGTTCCCCAAGCTCTTAGCATCAACAGGAGATAGTTCCTCAGTTGGTGTCGGTTCTTTGTAGCCTTCACTCACAACACCCCAGTACTCCTGTGACCTCAGAAAATTCTCCATCACAAGGCTCCAGTGATCATAGTCACCATCAAATTTTGGAATGCACACCTGTGCAAGGCTTCCATTTTCACTCATCTCACTTCAATCAACTCAGGATCTCTCACTCACTTCAACTTGGGGCTTCAATCACCCCCTATTATAAGATCCTCACTGTTACCTCTCGTGTTTCCCAAATCCCAGCTCTGCAAGCGTACTTGCTAAATTTTTACATAGAACAGTCTCACACAAAAACTTGGTTACAGTTTGCAGAGGCTCTGATACCACAATGTCAAACCCAATTGAGACAAACTGACAAGTTTATTGATCTGAACTTTTGGAAGAATAAATACAAGCTCTAATCCTGTAATCACGGCTACCATTAACCACACTAACCCGTTTCCCCTTGATTCCTGCTAACAAGAAACAGCTAAAACCTATAACAAACTAACAGACCTGCTCCCACGTTTCCACTACGCAAGAAACTCGGACTGTACTTATTTGACACAAAATTGAACTAAACAGAAAGACACTAAAACGGCACAGCTTGACTTCTAAGTCTAAAAGCCTTATTTGAGCTTCAACTTTGGCGTCACGATTCCAATCCTTCTGCACAAGGATTCCAACCCCAACATATCCTCCCCTGAACTGAAGCATCTGACAAGCCTTCAGTTCACACTTCCTCTCCACTTTGCCGTTTCTCAGTAGCAGTCTTGAGATACTTCCACCATTAGCTCCATGTCTCTCGAATGTCTCCAGCACCACTAGGCTACTTGATTCATAATTCCAAAGTGTTCCAGCATAATGTTCAATTCCGTCTCTTTCCTTCTTCAAGCATTCCTCAGACTTCAACATGTACGCTGGACAAGAGTCATCCACAGTACAATTTGAATCCTTGAGATTGTAGTACACGCTTGTATATTCCAGCATTGGAGACTCAAAATCTCCCTCATGTTCCTTATCAATAAAAATAATGACAGCAATTCTTGCTTTCCCACTTGTTTCTATATGCACCAGAGAATTGAGGCAGGTAAAGCCAACTTCATTAAGTGCTGGAAGTGACATCCAAACAATAAAGTAGCGATCAAAATAATGAAAGAAGTGAGACAGCCACCTAACCATGAGTTCATGATTCTCCCATATTTTCACAAGTTCCCTCATCATAAACTCGTCACGCTTCTCCCTGATAGCTGGCAGCGCAAAGGAACTAATGCTCTCTTCTACCGAGCCCTCCAGAATCCTTTTCAACTTCTCAGTTACATACTTCCAGATTAACTCTAACCCTTCAACATTCTGTACCCCCAACACTCCTTGGAAATATCTCATCAATCTAAACATATTCACAACATGCCTAGCCTGCATAAACTCTTTGAGCACAGTTAATCTCATCTTTGCTTTGAAGTGAGCAGCCCTTTGAGAATCTAATGATCTACCTCTGCAACAAACATCATGTATCGAGCCAGTTGAAACACCAACTGCAAAGTTGATAGGAGCAGCTTCAAAACTGAGAGAAACTGCTGCAAAACCAGTTCTATAACCATCCAATCCAGCTGCATATTTGATCAAGCTAGCTACATTTGAGTAGTTGACCACACAAACTGCAATTACCCATTTAGAACCTGATGACAGCAACAAACAAACTGCAAACCCAACTGTGTAATTGTCTTTTTGACTTCCTTTATACTGAATACTAGAGACCAGCATAATCTTAAGCACCATCTTGCCAGCCACATAATCCACATATAAACTGAATTGCCGATTCAAATGATATTCTTTAAAGACTAAAGCATGATCATAATAGTCGGCTAACAATGAGTATCTTCCAACCTTGTTGTACCATGATATGGTTGTGCACTTCAAGGCATATAATGTCTTCTTGATGCTGCATGTCTTTATGAACAAATCATGTCCATAACCACTCATTGAACAGTACAAGGTTACATTATGCTTCTCTTCCTCCCCTGCAACCATAAAATTTTGGGGTTGCACCACAAGCTCACTCTTCACAGCTAGCTGCTGCATATTCCCTTCAGCCACTGAGATAAAATTGTACTTATCCACCTCTATTTTCTCATCCTCTATGTCAGCGGGTGATTCTGATAGAGACTTGAATGCTTTACTTGAGAAAGAAGGAGAAGGATCTTCATTTTGAGATGAATCTGTTGTGCCTGGAGTTGCTGCAGTGCCATCATCCTTTTCAGTTTCTGGATCGTACCTGTCATTTTTACTTCCTTCCCAATGCCAACCCTTTAGATCTGGTAAATCTTGCACCATGTTCTTCTTTTTTAAATCTGGTAGTCCTTTTCCATATTGCTTATGCCAAGGATCCAGATTTCCAACTTCAACCTCATCTACAAGATTCTGCACTTCAGTTGTTACAGTATCAGTTGGGATATGCATATCTCTTACTGTGATACATGTTGCTGATGCTGTGACTCCAGTTGATGAATATATCTCTGGTACCTCTTGATCAACAACAGTTCTACTACCTATTTCAGAACCATCAATTGGTCCTTGATCAATTTGCATGAACAAGCACTTCACTTCAGTGGCAGTTTGTGATACAACTAACTCAGGATATATCACAAACATCTTGTTGAATTTCATCTTTGTCTGCATCACTAAACCTTTCTCATCATGAAAATTTTTGCAAACCCCACCCTTGATGAGAAATGTCAAGCCTTTATCTTGCATCTGACCTATACTCAACAAGTTGGTTCTTAATCCAGGGACATAAAACACATTTTTAATCACAAAGTTTCTTCCTTCCACTTTCATCTTTATGACTCCCTTTCCTTGCACTTGAAGTCTAGTACCATTGCCTAACTTAACACTGCAACTAAAGCAAGAATCAATAGAGTCAAATAGTTGTTTGTTACCACTCATATGATTACTGCATCCTGAGTCTAGAAGCCAGCAACGTCCTCTCTTTTCCAGCTGCATTCCTTCTCTTTTCTCTAACTCCATTCCTTCTTCTTGCTGAACAGAAGCCAGCAGTAGCACATTCTCTGTCATGTCTTTGTAGGATCTGACTTTCCTTGGGTGAGAACTGGAGTAGTTGGTTTGGCCAGCAGTGTACCAATCAGGGCACTCATTTCTGAAGTGCCCGAGTTTGTGACACATAAAGCACTCCAGAGAATTTCTATTCCAGCCTCTTCCTCTGCCTTGATAGACTCCTCTTCCATGGCATCTGCCACTTCTGCTTTCAGTCTCATGTACAATGCTGAGAGCTTGTTCATCCTCAGACACATATCTTTTACTGAACTTCTGTTCATGTACTATCAGAGAACTCTGAAGTGCGTCAACAGTAAGCAAATCTATGTCTTTGGACTCTTCAATGGAGCAGACTACATAGTTAAACTTCTCAGTTAGAGTTCTAAGTATCTTCTCCACAATCTGAACATCAGTAATGTTCTCTCCACAGTGTCTCATGGAGTTAGCCACCGCCATAACTCTTCCAAAGTACCCATTTATGGTCTCCCCTTCTTTCATTTCCAACAACTCGAAATTCCTTCTCAAAGATTGTAACTGAACCTTCTGGACCCTAGCACTGCCTTGAAACTTAAGTTTCATTGCATCCCAAAGTTCCTTTGAAGTCTTCTTGTTGGTGATTGTCTTGAGTATGGTCCTGTCAATGGAACAGAAGAGGTAATTTTTAGCCATCAAGTCATTCAGCTTCATGTTCCCCAAGCTCTTAGCATCAACAGGAGATAGTTCCTCAGTTGGTGTCGGTTCTTTGTAGCCTTCACTCACAACACCCCAGTACTCCTGTGACCTCAGAAAATTCTCCATCACAAGGCTCCAGTGATCATAGTCACCATCAAATTTTGGAATGCACACCTGTGCAAGGCTTCCATTTTCACTCATCTCACTTCAATCAACTCAGGATCTCTCACTCACTTCAACTTGGGGCTTCAATCACCCCCTATTATAAGATCCTCACTGTTACCTCTCGTGTTTCCCAAATCCCAGCTCTGCAAGCGTACTTGCTAAATTTTTACATAGAACAGTCTCACACAAAAACTTGGTTACAGTTTGCAGAGGCTCTGATACCACAATGTCAAACCCAATTGAGACAAACTGACAAGTTTATTGATCTGAACTTTTGGAAGAATAAATACAAGCTCTAATCCTGTAATCACGGCTACCATTAACCACACTAACCCGTTTCCCCTTGATTCCTGCTAACAAGAAACAGCTAAAACCTATAACAAACTAACAGACCTGCTCCCACGTTTCCACTACGCAAGAAACTCGGACTGTACTTATTTGACACAAAATTGAACTAAACAGAAAGACACTAAAACGGCACAGCTTGACTTCTAAGTCTAAAAGCCTTATTTGAGCTTCAACTTTGGCGTCACGATTCCAATCCTTCTGCACAAGGATTCCAACCCTAACATATCCTCCCCTGAACTGAAGCATCTGACAAGCCTTCAGTTCACACTTCCTCTCCACTTTGCCGTTTCTCAGTAGCAGTCTTGAGATACTTCCACCATTAGCTCCATGTCTCTCGAATGTCTCCAGCACCACTAGGCTACTTGATTCATAATTCCAAAGTGTTCCAGCATAATGTTCAATTCCGTCTCTTTCCTTCTTCAAGCATTCCTCAGACTTCAACATGTACGCTGGACAAGAGTCATCCACAGTACAATTTGAATCCTTGAGATTGTAGTACACGCTTGTATATTCCAGCATTGGAGACTCAAAATCTCCCTCATGTTCCTTATCAATAAAAATAATGACAGCAATTCTTGCTTTCCCACTTGTTTCTATATGCACCAGAGAATTGAGGCAGGTAAAGCCAACTTCATTAAGTGCTGGAAGTGACATCCAAACAATAAAGTAGCGATCAAAATAATGAAAGAAGTGAGACAGCCACCTAACCATGAGTTCATGATTCTCCCATATTTTCACAAGTTCCCTCATCATAAACTCGTCACGCTTCTCCCTGATAGCTGGCAGCGCAAAGGAACTAATGCTCTCTTCTACCGAGCCCTCCAGAATCCTTTTCAACTTCTCAGTTACATACTTCCAGATTAACTCTAACCCTTCAACATTCTGTACCCCCAACACTCCTTGGAAATATCTCATCAATCTAAACATATTCACAACATGCCTAGCCTGCATAAACTCTTTGAGCACAGTTAATCTCATCTTTGCTTTGAAGTGAGCAGCCCTTTGAGAATCTAATGATCTACCTCTGCAACAAACATCATGTATCGAGCCAGTTGAAACACCAACTGCAAAGTTGATAGGAGCAGCTTCAAAACTGAGAGAAACTGCTGCAAAACCAGTTCTATAACCATCCAATCCAGCTGCATATTTGATCAAGCTAGCTACATTTGAGTAGTTGACCACACAAACTGCAATTACCCATTTAGAACCTGATGACAGCAACAAACAAACTGCAAACCCAACTGTGTAATTGTCTTTTTGACTTCCTTTATACTGAATACTAGAGACCAGCATAATCTTAAGCACCATCTTGCCAGCCACATAATCCACATATAAACTGAATTGCCGATTCAAATGATATTCTTTAAAGACTAAAGCATGATCATAATAGTCGGCTAACAATGAGTATCTTCCAACCTTGTTGTACCATGATATGGTTGTGCACTTCAAGGCATATAATGTCTTCTTGATGCTGCATGTCTTTATGAACAAATCATGTCCATAACCACTCATTGAACAGTACAAGGTTACATTATGCTTCTCTTCCTCCCCTGCAACCATAAAATTTTGGGGTTGCACCACAAGCTCACTCTTCACAGCTAGCTGCTGCATATTCCCTTCAGCCACTGAGATAAAATTGTACTTATCCACCTCTATTTTCTCATCCTCTATGTCATCGGGTGATTCTGATAGAGACTTGAATGCTTTACTTGAGAAAGAAGGAGAAGGATCTTCATTTTGAGATGAATCTGTTGTGCCTGGAGTTGCTGCAGTGCCATCATCCTTTTCAGTTTCTGGATCGTACCTGTCATTTTTACTTCCTTCCCAATGCCAACCCTTTAGATCTGGTAAATCTTGCACCATGTTCTTCTTTTTTAAATCTGGTAGTCCTTTTCCATATTGCTTATGCCAAGGATCCAGATTTCCAACTTCAACCTCATCTACAAGATTCTGCACTTCAGTTGTTACAGTATCAGTTGGGATATGCATATCTCTTACTGTGATACATGTTGCTGATGCTGTGACTCCAGTTGATGAATATATCTCTGGTACCTCTTGATCAACAACAGTTCTACTACCTATTTCTGAACCATCAATTGGTCCTTGATCAATTTGCATGAACAAGCACTTCACTTCAGTGGCAGTTTGTGATACAACTAACTCAGGATATATCACAAACATCTTGTTGAATTTCATCTTTGTCTGCATCACTAAACCTTTCTCATCATGAAAAATTTTGCAAACCCCACCCTTGATGAGAAATGTCAAGCCTTTATCTTGCATCTGACCTATACTCAACAAGTTGGTTCTTAATCCAGGGACATAAAACACATTTTTAATCACAAAGTTTCTTCCTTCCACTTTCATCTTTATGACTCCCTTTCCTTGCACTTGAAGTCTAGTACCATTGCCTAACTTAACACTGCAACTAAAGCAAGAATCAATAGAGTCAAATAGTTGTTTGTTACCACTCATATGATTACTGCATCCTGAGTCTAGAAGCCAGCAACGTCCTCTCTTTTCCAGCTGCATTCCTTCTCTTTTCTCTAACTCCATTCCTTCTTCTTGCTGAACAGAAGCCAGCAGTAGCACATTCTCTGTCATGTCTTTGTAGGATCTGACTTTCCTTGGGTGAGAACTGGAGTAGTTGGTTTGGCCAGCAGTGTACCAATCAGGGCACTCATTTCTGAAGTGCCCGAGTTTGTGACACATAAAGCACTCCAGAGAATTTCTATTCCAGCCTCTTCCTCTGCCTTGATAGACTCCTCTTCCATGGCATCTGCCACTTCTGCTTTCAGTCTCATGTACAATGCTGAGAGCTTGTTCATCCTCAGACACATATCTTTTACTGAACTTCTGTTCATGTACTATCAGAGAACTCTGAAGTGCGTCAACAGTAAGCAAATCTATGTCTTTGGACTCTTCAATGGAGCAGACTACATAGTTAAACTTCTCAGTTAGAGTTCTAAGTATCTTCTCCACAATCTGAACATCAGTAATGTTCTCTCCACAGTGTCTCATGGAGTTAGCCACCGCCATAACTCTTCCAAAGTACCCATTTATGGTCTCCCCTTCTTTCATTTCCAACAACTCGAAATTCCTTCTCAAAGATTGTAACTGAACCTTCTGGACCCTAGCACTGCCTTGAAACTTAAGTTTCATTGCATCCCAGTTCCTTTGAAGTCTTCTTGTTGGTGATTGTCTTGAGTATGGTCCTGTCAATGGAACAGAAGAGGTAATTTTTAGCCATCAAGTCATTCAGCTTCATGTTCCCCAAGCTCTTAGCATCAACAGGAGATAGTTCCTCAGTTGGTGTCGGTTCTTTGTAGCCTTCACTCACAACACCCCAGTACTCCTGTGACCTCAGAAAATTCTCCATCACAAGGCTCCAGTGATCATAGTCACCATCAAATTTTGGAATGCACACCTGTGCAAGGCTTCCATTTTCACTCATCTCACTTCAATCAACTCAGGATCTCTCACTCACTTCAACTTGGGGCTTCAATCACCCCCTATTATAAGATCCTCACTGTTACCTCTCGTGTTTCCCAAATCCCAGCTCTGCAAGCGTACTTGCTAAATTTTTACATAGAACAGTCTCACACAAAAACTTGGTTACAGTTTGCAGAGGCTCTGATACCACAATGTCAAACCCAATTGAGACAAACTGACAAGTTTATTGATCTGAACTTTTGGAAGAATAAATACAAGCTCTAATCCTGTAATCACGGCTACCATTAACCACACTAACCCGTTTCCCCTTGATTCCTGCTAACAAGAAACAGCTAAAACCTATAACAAACTAACAGACCTGCTCCCACGTTTCCACTACGCAAGAAACTCGGACTGTACTTATTTGACACAAAATTGAACTAAACAGAAAGACACTAAAACGGCACAGCTTGACTTCTAAGTCTAAAAGCCTTATTTGAGCTTCAACTTTGGTGTCACGATTCCAATCCTTCTGCACAAGGATTCCAACCCCAACATCCTCTCGCCCGCAAAATCCTCAACCTCTCTTGGAAACCACCAACAACGTTGACCACCTGATTTGTACACCATCTCCGGCCGTTCGCGTTGTTGATTTTCTGATTTTATTATAATTAGACAGATAGTGGCCAAAAATGGGTCAAGCGGGTTGAGGGTTTCGAGTGCTTAATCGTCGCAGCCACTCACTGAAAGGACAAACTGACTGTTGCGGCTATTTGACTGATCTGAACCGGTCCGACGATCAGGTGTCGATTTTACCAGTCGGACCGACTAGCTCGGGCCGGTTTTAATAACAATGAATAACACCATATGCTCTTCCAGTGTCTCATGAATTTAAAAAATTGTTCCACACGTGTTAACCATTCAGATAGCTCCTCGCTCCCGTTGAGAATTTTTTTGTTGGAATGGACCGGTTTGATCATCAGTCCAACTCGACCCATACTCGTGCGGCAGTGCATCCCGATTACCCAGCCTGCTTGCGTATCCCTTCGATCTGTGGGTTCCAGGCCACGACCCTGCTCCGCTCGGCCCAGCACCCAGAGGCATGCTCAAGGCTCCACCGACCCCATAGACCATGCCTCTCTCGCTTGTCGTGCTCGCTCTGCTGAACAGGCTTTTCCTGTTAGGCCCACGCAGCCCACCCGTTATCTCGTCTCGTCACTGTATTGGTGGTGGACCAAGCACCCAGCCTTGCCCACCCCAGGAGTCACCAACCCTGCCCATGGCAACATCATCACTGTCGCTGGCCCAATCGGCCTGAGGCCCACTCCCGTGGCTGGTCCTGGCCCGCTGCCTAGGGTTCCTTCTAGTCGAGTGTTTTGTTCTGCATTTCTTGTGATCTTTAAGTGCTTCAAGTTCATTTCTTGTAACTAGTGCTTACTTTTGGCATTTGCTTTGGGAGTTGATAAATGTCGTTCTTAAAATTATTAATGATCTTCCTAAAATACAACAGAGTTACATTTTTAACCTTTTGATATTTTTGCATTTTCTTTAGCAAACAACTAAAAAAAACTTAAAATTATTAATGATCGTCCTAAAATACAACAAAGTACCATGGACCAACCAAAAATCAGCTTCGGTTGTAGTACCATGGATCAACCGAAAACTATCTTCGGTTGAGCCATAGTGCAACCGAAGGTGATTTTCGATTGGTCCATGATACAAACGAAAATTGACTTCGATTGAGAGATTTTTGGGACAACCTTTAACCAATCAGTTTGCTTTTGGACTTATTTGTAAATTCGTCCAACAACATACTGTTAGTGTTAACATGGTTATTGATTTATAATTCTATCAAAGATTTTAGTATTTTTTTGCATTTACATAGATATGCGCATTTGGCTAATATTTTGACAAAGTTGGAAATTTTGACTAATAAATTGTATTGTATTTACCCTCTTAAGTCTTAAGTCTTAATTACACGTCTTTCGATTGCTCTGGTGCATCGGTTCCTTGGTCAAACATTCCGCTCAAAGTATCTCCTCGAATATCCGACCCGTAGATATGACCCATCTTGACCCGCTTCGCCTCCAGGTACCTCTTGTTCTCCTCCGTGATGGGCGTCATCACCGGAACCCTTCCGACCACCGCCAGCCCGTACCCTTTCAGCCCCACGAACTTGGCCGGGTTGTTCGTCATCAGCCGCATCGTCCTCACCCCAACATCCCTCAAGATCTGCGCCCCGATGCCGTACTCCCTCGCGTCCACCGCCAGACCGAGCTCGATGTTGGCCTCCACGGTGTCGTGCCCCAAATCCTGCAAGTTGTACGCCAGAAGCTTGTGACCCAGCCCGATCCCTCTCCCTTCGTGCCCTCGTAGGTACACCACCACGCCTCTTCCGGCTTCCTCTATCAATCGCATCGCAAGCTCCAATTGGTTCCCGCAGTCGCACCGGCCCGACCCGAATATGTCGCCCGTCAAGCACTCCGAGTGGACTCTCACCAGTACGTCCTCGCCGTTCCCTATTTCTCCCTGCCCAAAACCCACACAACGATTTTAATTGACGAATCATTGGAATTGGGTTTCCTTATGGGTTCTTCTTGTTACCTTGACAAGGGCTATATGTTCTGTATCATCTAGCTTTGAGCGGTAGCAGTAAGCGTCAAAGATGCCACGTTTTGTGGGTAGGCCAGAGACGGCTGTTCTTTCCACCAATTTCTCCCTCTTTCTCCGGTACCTACAATGGCGTCTTTGACGGTGAGTCCAATTTACAGTAATGGGAATGTTTTACAGTTATGTAAACAATTTGGGTCACCTTATTAGATCGGTAATTGAGACGATTGGTATGTTGTGTGCGGCAGCCAAATTTCTGAGATTTTCCAACGAAGCGATGGACCCATCCTCTGGATCGACGATGGCCGAGATAACAGAGACCGGCCGCAACCCGGCGAGCATAACTAGATCGACAGAAGCTTCGGTGTGTCCAGCCCTTCTCAAAACGCCGCCGTTTCGGTACTTGAGTGGGAAGACGTGCCCTGCTGGTTTCCTGAAATCTTGAGGGTTGGACTCTGCAGAAGCTAGAGCCAGCACCGTCTTTGCTCTGTCTGCCGCTGATACTCCCGTCAATGTCCCACTTTTCGCGTCCTTTCATCCAACATTGCGCAATCCAAATGTTGGGGGTGAAGAAATTAAAGCGGTGAATTGGAGATGGAGGGGATTGAGAATTCTTACCACGGTGATTGTGAAAGTAGGGGCGGAAGAATCCTCATCTTCGGTCTCGGGGGACATTAATGGAAGCTTGAGTCTGACGAGATCCTCTTCCGCCATTCCGACGGAGACGATGCCGGAGCCATGCTTCATCACGAACGCCACGTGTTTCGCGGTGGTGAACGCCGCCGACATGACCAAGTTCCCTTCAACGACGCCGGCGCCGTCGTCCTCATCGTCTACAACAATCACAAACTGAAACCAAGAGAAAGGGGGACAAAACCCCCCTTTCTGTATTAGCAATGGAAAAAAAAGGAACGAAAGAAAAAGAAAATAGAGGTTTAATTCTCTAACGAATTGGGACTTTCTGACCTTGCCCTGGCGAAGGATGTGGAGGGCGTGGTCAATGGAGGAGTACCCTGGAGTTGGGCAATCAGGGTCTCCCTCTGCATCGCTGACGAAGAAATCAATGGTCTCCGAGGTGATCTCGGCGCTAACCGTTCCAAACGGCGCCGAATCGGTCTCGTCCTTCAACGCGTAGCCGTTTTGGTTTCTGCAGTCGTCGGAATCGGGCAGCTCGCCGGCTCCGACTCTGTGGACGGCGATGCTGGTGGCGAAGGAGGCTCTGTTTCTGGGTTGAGCTGCGGCGGCGCCGGAGGGAAGCGGATGAAGAAGAGAGTTGCGGTGGAGGACGTGGCGGGGAAAGTGGAGAGCGTGGGGAAGTAAGGCGGCGGAGTCCATTGGGGGGAAATTGAGTTTATGTTGTTTCTGCTCATGCTAGTTGTGGAGCAAGGATTGCCATGGCCGTGTATGATGGTGAAGAAAACTGACGCCTATGGTTCTGGATTTTTGTTTTTCGTTCCCTCCGAGTCGGTGGCATTATCCGAAGTGGGATATATATATATGGAGAAATGAGAAAATGGAGCGCGCGGAAGGAAACTATCAAACAGAACTATTTACCACCGTCTTTCACTGCTTCTACTTGGCGAAAGAACTCAAACCTGTAAAAGAAAGGTGAAGAAGAAGGATGCTATTAAAGTGAAGATATGGCATCTAATGACTAATATTATTGAAGTCGAATCAGGGTAAAAACAATCTAATGAAAAGGCAGAGTAAAGAAACTCATCGCAGCCTCCCCTTGTCTTCTTCATCTTGCCTCTGGTCCTAACTCACAAGTCACAACCCTTACAAAACCAAAACTACTGTTCTGTGTTGATAAATTGTGTGAGCTAGTTATAAAGATCTTGCCACATGCTACAAAGAAATTCTAAATTAGAATTGGTAATTTGAAGGACAGATTCTCCTCTCACTCTTCTCCAGCTACTATAAATCTCCATCCTTCACCAGTCCTCATCGACCCTCCTTCTATTTTCTTCTCATTTTCTTCCTATTATTCAAATGATAATCATTGCTATTAAAATCCCCCAAGAACCAGCCCATTTGTGGCCATATTTCGAACTTCCTTCTTGTTCTGAATCAGAGGCGACTAAGGAGAAAACGATGGTAACTGCTCAAATTCATAGATAGGGTTTGATGATTTAGGAGACTTATAGCAGCAACAATGAGTTGCTAAGTCTTTTATACCAGTAGCTAAACAAGCTTATAGAAAGAAAATACGTGCCCTCGTCCTATCAGATGTTTGAAAGCTAAAATAATGATTAATTAACGAGTAACAGACGTGAGTAAAACCAATCAAATTCTAATTGAAAGGTTCTTTAGCGGCTGATCATCAAATCTCCTTCTTCATGCAATCCTTTTATGATATGGATTCGCTCTTCATTGTCAGTTCTGTCGCACCCTTCAAGATGTGGTAGTCAGATTGACTCCCAACTTAACTAATAATTCTTTGAGTCTTACTTGATGCAACCCTTTGGTGAATAGATGTGTCAACTGGTTTATTGTGTTGTCGTGTTGTAATTTGATCAAAGGTGATTGATTTTTTTTTCTTGTCACATGAATGTTGATTTCAATATGCTTGGTCCATTCTTGAAAACAGGGTCTTCAACAATGTGGATAGACGATCTATTTTCGCAGTAGACTATTATTAGAATAATTAAGCCACAAGTTCGCAAGAATTACCAAAAATCGCGTTTACTGTTCCTTACGAACAAATCGCGTGCTACTGTTCACGGGGAAGTTTTTTTATTGCATGCGGACGGTTTTAGATAAACTTGCATTCACCATATTGGGCTGGACAAGCTGTAGCGATTGATGGTCTTTTATTTTCGTCAAATGCATGGGCCCACGTGTAAATGACCACATCTGACCAGTACCCCTCTCTTTTCCGTACGTCTCCACTCTCCACAATCCCTTCTTCCCCATTCATTATCTTTCCCTATTCTGAACAAAAGATCTCTTTCCGGCCTTTTTTTTTTCTCGTCCAATCTCAACCGGAGAACCAGAGAGTTCAAATCATTTGATCCATTTCTCTACCAATAGCAATCGTGTTTTCCTATTGTGACAAAAAAAGATCTCTTTCCTAACTAAGTCTTCCGTCCAACCTCAAATGGAGAATCTAAAGTCAAGTCGATGGAGATAGAAGAAGATAAACAAGAAGAAATTGAACGTGCGGTTGCCGGAGCTAGGGGCAGACGGAAAAGATCGTTTGAAGGCTTCCTCTTTGAACCCGAATAGTTTCCGAAAGAAGCCTACCATCGCAAAATCAAATAGAAGCCTTGGAAGGGTAGAACCTTTCTTATATGTGAAATTGAAGCCATTGGAAAATTGGACAGACTAACCGAATTGTCACAACTATAAAAGTAAACCCGGCCATATGATGTTCTTTTGCCCGCTCAATCAACACATACGACAACGGCGGTGGTTGAGCAATAGAAAGAGAGGACGAGAGATGAAGCATTGAGAATAGAATGGATGGGTTGTCAAGATGTATATGGTTACTCCTCTCTTATGAGTTTTTGGGAACATCAATCCTTTTATGAATGGAATTGCATGGAGTACACATGTCTCCATTTGCAATTGAAGAAGGCCACCTGTATACATGTCCACACATGTCGACTAAATTTGGGTCTTCCCCAAATATAAATTTCTTATTTAATTTTTTATTTATTGGATGAGGGGTGATATAAGGAACTTTCCTTCTTTCTTAACTTTTCAATCATCTCTAAATCACGAATTCATGGTTTGGTTTGTGGAATAATATATAGTCTATTTATGTGTTATTTTTTAGATGATAAATTAAAACACATATATACACTATAAAAATATATGTTTCTTCGGTTTGATTTTGGCAATTCATACATACACTATAAATTACAATTTTTAAGAGTGTTAACAACATTGTATGTTTGAAGAAATTGTTTACTTCATGATTATAAAATTTTGATAATAAATTTTTTCGAATTACCAGATCATGCTACAATAACCAATTTTAGATAAATTCAAAATTAACGAACCACAATCTATTTTGATGTTCTTCGTTTTGACGAAAATAAAATACTAATGGTTTCTTGCAATAAATTGGGAGCCTAAATTTTATTATTTGAGTTTTCTTTTCAACAATGCAGTATAATGATATGCGAACTTAAATTTCATCCTAATTTATGTAATTAAAAAAAATTATATATAAAAATATCGATGGCAAGTACAAGTATGTAACACTTCAGGTACACCGTACACGTATATGATACTCATAAGGAACAATTCAATTTTTACTGAAAAATATGTGTTTCAATGATTAAATGAATGATTTCTTATACAAACTCTAAATTTACATATATCAGGGTGGAGCATTTAGAACTTACAAGTACAATAAAAAAATAAAAATATTGAAACAAAACAAAGCAAACATCCACAACATGGAATACCGGGTAAATAACTGTATAGATATATAGCCACAAGTTAAAAATAATTGTTCATTACTAAAAATAGAGCATACTATTAAAAATTTCTTTTCCTGTGTACTATTCACTTATTTTGTTATCCCTTATACCCAACTTTACCATAAATCACTTTCCCTTATACAAATTGTATAATAAAATTATTTATTTCTCAACCATTACAATCAATTTCACTATAAATTATATTTCCTTAATTGTCTGTCTAGATACTTTGTTTTCTTTCCTAAGAATTCCTTTCATGTTATGAAAGACATAAATATTACAAATACATTATGTACAACTTAGAAAGGATAATAATTTTATATGAATCAAACATTACGTAAACTACAAATACATTGCGTAGGATTTATAGAGAAATATTCATTTCTTATGTATAAATTAAGCAAAATGTATCATGTAAGTTTTTGGAAATGTTCAAGACACTAATTATAGTGAGTGATAGTTATTTATTATGTATCAGTTAAACATATTACGTATTTTTTTTAGTAATGTAAGTTTGACCATGAATTTATTTATTATTAATTAAACTGTTGACGATGTCATCAACTTGCATTACAAAAAGGCTCTGTAAAATTAATTATTTTGCAGACAATAGTTTAATCAAATTTGATATATTTCATAACTTGATTTATATTATATCACGCATCACAAGAGATTTACATAACATCATTCTCTAACAATTACCTAAAAATAGTGGATTACGTAAAATTTATGAAGTGATAGTTATTCTTATGTATCATTTTTTATTGACGCAATGTAAACCTTATGGAGGTATCTTACACAATCTATTTTATGAATTGTTTGATTTTCATTAAATTTTTATTTGAGTAAATGCATTTTTAGAGAATTAATTTTCTACCGCAGCGAAGCGCGGGCCAAAAAACTAGTGATAGGTAATGGTACTTTTACTGTTAGTTTCTCTAGCAATCCCTTCGGCCATTATATCATTTGGGGAAGGATATAAGTTGATTGTGTATATACTTACCATTTTGGAAGATTACTAAATTCCCTCTCAATAAACTTTATGGTTATATTTCTTTCGTTTTAAGTCGAAATTAAAAAAACGTTACATACTATAATCATATTAATTTTTCTCTTCAAAATGACACCCAGTTTGATATACTTTAGAGCAAAAAAAATTGAGATTTTTATTACCAGTCCATACCATGTGGTACTGCTTGATATGTACATAAGATTATACCATGCAGTATGGAAGTGTACCAGGATGGTATAAATATACCATAGTGTAGAATAGTTGTATACATGGTAGTAGGAATGTATTAAATGTTATTTACCACATTTTATCATTGTCTACCACTAGTTACCACCCTATACCATGGTGGTACCGAGTGATATATTTGGTCCTGAATTTTTTCCCCTCATAAATTTGGAATCCAATAGATCACCATAAACTCGTTCCCTTAAACAAGATTTTACAAAATTCAAGTTAAAACGAAGATGATACCAAAATTGTAAAAAGAGGTATGAAATTTTTTTCTCAAAATATATTAAGAATCGATCTCACATGTAGATTGCAACAAACTCATTCTATTCATGTAAATAGTGAAAATCAGGTCTCCCGTACGTGATATTTAGGAAAGCTTTTATTCTTACTCAACGAAGTGGCTGTAGTTTAGTGGTTAGAATATCACGTTGTGGCCGTGATGACCTGGGCTCGAATCCCAGCAGCCACATTTTTGTTTTCCTCCCATTTATTGATGTTGGCAGTTGGTCTCTTCATCCGCAGAATCTTTTCCCTCTCTTCGCCAATCAACCCTCTCTGTATTATTTCTTCATTCCCCCCTTCTGCTGCAAGGCTCCTTCTGAAAAAGGTAAATCCTCTCTCTTCTCCTTCTTCTCTCATTTTCGCCCTCACATTTCCTGCATATTCCATCTCCAATTTGAGTTCCTGAAAGATCAATTACCAACACCACCATGAAAATCACAGCTGAAACTTCATTGTAGAATCTCAAACCAGAAATCATTGTCTTCCCCAGTCGGAGTTTGATATCAAGCCATGGTTTAGGTTCACAACGTTGCATTTCGCCTTTTTCACAGCATTTCAGTGATGATTTACTCGCTGACTTCAATGTTTCCGTCCTTAAAACTTGCAACATTGATGTCCAACCGCAGATTTGTAGATAACTTCGATAGTCTTCTACCTAGGATTTTCGCGGTCATTCCTGAACTCGTCCATGGAGGGGTTTAGGGTTTTACTTTTCCCCCTTTGCATTGCATACTAGCTGAAACAAATGCTTGACATCGCTTTGCCTGTACGCTTAATGCTCCTTTGTTTTTGGTTCCATTGTTGTTGGTTTCTATAGTACCTTGCTGTTCATGTTTGATTGTTCAACAAATTAATCACATCTCCAAGGGAGATCGTTCCACTGCATGTAGAAACCAGAGGCTGAAACTACTGAAGGTGCCATGGAAGTGGACGAAAGCTTGCTGCAGACTGCTGCTGAAGACATACTAGAGGAGTATTTCCCCAGGCCCAGAATCAGTAGGTTGAATCAATATGCACAGAGTTTTTCCCTTCAAGCTCTCTGTGTGTTTGAGTAGTCATGCTGTGTTTGATTGATATTCAGCTTTAAGTTAAAATGGATTCATCCTACTTGAACAATTAACTGATGGGATGTTGGCCAATTTTTATGTTAAAAGTTGAAACAAAGAACTTAGTCTGCCCTTAGCCTCAACGGGGTTGTTCTTCAGTAAAGGAGACTGTTAGAAGCTATTACCTCTTACTTCAGTGATAAGGGGAATAATAACTCTCTACTTCCCTGTTTCAGCAAAACCACCTTCTCAGATTCCCCAAATCGACCGATCGAAGAAGCAGGTTCGAGATTTGGATGGTTTTCAAGAGTGGAGCAAGAGTGCCAACCGTGATTCGGGCAGTTTGTCCCTTCATGCTACACCAGGTGATGATGGTTGCTGTCACTGCGAGGATGTTGGGATGACAGATGAGCAGACTAAAGCTTTTCTAAATTCAAGGTGCTGGGTTTCCTCTCGACATAATGGCTCCTTGTTTTGCATCACTTGAAGAATTTTGGCCTGCCCTTTCCAACTGTGGCAATCTCAAAGCTACTTGTATCTGTTTGCTATCCGTGGTGAACCAGATTGAAACGAGGCAAAGGCAACATTGGATCGCAGGAGGGGGCTCATCATTGTTCATGCTATAGTGTTGGATTATTGGGTTCAAGGTTTTAAGACTTCTATAGCTTGATGTGTGGATTCTTAAAATGCTTTGCTTTCAGTATGTGCTTTTGTTGATTAATAAGAACCGTAATTCATTCTGCATTTGGGTTTTTGTCTTTGGCAGGGGTGGACCAGATGTATGGTCGAGGCTAAATGTAGGGAGATGCCATTCTAAGCCAGTTGCTGAAGTGAAGCCATGGTTGAATCTTTCAGATCCCGTGGCAGCATGGATGAATGGTGTTTATGGACCCAAGAAGAGGTGATCACTTCACAGTTGCTGATACTACTTATGAGCGTGTGTTTTGCTGAATCATTGTGGATATCAGGTATATGTATGTATAGGTTTCGTTAGATGTTGCTGATCTTATGAATTTAGAACATCATTATGGATATCTGAAAGGTGTATATATTGTGATTCATGTATAGAGATTAGTTAGGAAGGTGTTTTTCCGTGATCTGCCTATGAAATTCAACGACTAGTTAATGATTGTCGAGATAAACATTCAGAAAAAAGTGAAGGTAAAAAATGGTGATTGAATGTCCGTGTGGAGCTGGACTTTAGATGCGCGACTCAGATGCTCACGAGCACAGAGAGCTCCACCCACCATCATTCAGTCATTGTGGCTCACTTCCAGGATCTGGCTGATCGTGATTGGGTAGTTAATATTTCACATATTTACCGTGTGGGTAATAAGTGTGCTGATTATTTAGTTAGTTGTGGTTACTCATTGTCTGTGGAGTGCATGGTATTTGCATACTGATTCATCCTTGTATCAGCTCATTTTGTACGACTGTCAGGAGCTCTTCGAACCCCATTTGGTATTGAATGAAAGCTAACATGAGGCACATCTATTTACCAACAAAAAAAAAAATGGTGATTGAATTAACAATAATATTCAGATTAAAATATGTTTTAAAATAAGGTAGCTAAGATTTCAGCTGAAGTGGATTTTAGATGATTTTTATTAGTTCTTTTACACGTATGTCAAGTATTGTGTTCATTGTTGCTTATTTAGTTATTTTAGCTCTGCAAATTCATTTGAAGTTTTGTGAAATAACATTGTATAAGACTTGTCCACTTTAACACGCTAAGGCCCTGTTTACTTTCATTTCTGTTTCCTGTTTTTGAGAAAACAGATGTTGAAAACAGGTGAAAACAACATTTCGTCGTTTTCGAAAACAGCAGGAAGTTGCCACTTTCTGTTTTCATAGTTGGAAACGAATAGAAAACAGAATGAAAAGTAAACAAGTTTTCTCGTTTCGGTTGCCAAATTTATGGCATGAAAACAGAAAACAGGAAACGAAAATGGAAATGAACAGGGCCTTAGTTTTTATAATATGGAAAAGATTTGGTGGCACCTAAAAACTGGACACCTATTTCATGTATTTTTGTTGCGTTTATTTACGTAAATTTATGCTTATTTACGTCATATATTGTTGTTTATTCACATAATAGTGGTGGTTATTTACACAAATAGTACTGATCATTCACCCAATATGGTATTTATTCATGCATTATTATTTATTCACGTTGTTGTAAAATCAAATTTTAAATTTTGAAATATATTTAAATAGATGTCATTGTCTAGATTGTGATTCACGAAACTCGTTTTTTTACAAAAAAAAAAAAAAATGAAAATCCAAATTTAATTTCATAAAGTATAGTTAGCAGAAAAGAAAAGGAACAAGTTTGAGATTTCATTTGCGAGAATAACTCCAAATTATGTAAATGAATGCAAAATGAGTGAATTAGTTGATGTGGCTGTCCACTAAACATTTTTCTAAGAGAGTTGAGAGATGGGTGGTGAAGTGAAACACAAACATTTATTTTGTAATCAAATGCTAAAATGATGTGCTTTCGTTTTTATCATTTTAAAATTAAATAAAATATAAAATAATATTATTTTAATATAAAAGAAATCTAACAAGATCCATTTTGACTACTTTTTATTGTTTAGAATTTTTATTCATATTTTATATTATAAATCATTTATAGTTATTATACATAACCACTTATATTAAACCGTATTTCTAATTATTTTTCAACCAAACACTCAACTGTTTTTTTTTTTTGAAAAATACTTCTCTATATGCTACCGCCAGAAGTTGCTTCTACAAAAGTTACAACAATGCCAAACTAGCCACGTCTCAAGGATCTCATAGTGTTATTATGTATGATCCTAACGCTAGGCACGAACTTTTGTACGACTTTGTTAGGATTTCTTCAACCTTTTTAGTGAAGTAACTAGCAAAACCTGCTCGCTGCGCTTCGCGATGAGTAGTCACAATTATACTCATTGATTTACACGATAAAAAGGGAAATAAATATATCATCATAACTATAAGGTTAAATCGATATGGATTTTTGTTCACGAATCTATTTGTAGCACTACTAAATTGATGGAGTCACGTCATCAAGTTCCTCCCACATCTTTCAACAACTAATACAACATTCATTAGGGTAGTTAACTGAACAACAAATAAAACGTCGTTCGGAAGTTACTATAAGTGGATTTATAATCAACGACAAATTGAAAATAAGGCAAGTAGTAAAATAACATTAACACTTTCAATATATTCAATCCCATATGAAATTCTTCTTATAAATATTTGTTCCTTTTGCTATGCTTCTCCCCCATCTTTTCTCAATACCATTCAGGTGCTTTGTCATTTTACATGGCTCCTACAATTGATCAATGATCATTAAGCATTAGTGAGCCATCAAAGCCTACTAAACCATAAGTGAGAAGAAACTAATAAGCAGGCAAATTTTTATCAAAATTCCCATTCATGAAAAGTGGAAGCACTTGAAAGCATAGATATGGGGTGTGGTTGAAGCTAGTATGTTTCTCCACCAAACAACATACTTCTCCGAGAATCAGCTAGCTCAGACTTGCCAACCATATAGGATAGCCTAAATACACGATAACTACAAACAATTTTATCAAGTTATGGAGGTGTATGTCCTATAAGGATGACATGCATGCTAACTTTTTAAAGTACATTTTAAACTGTCTAAGTCGAGTACTTAAAAAAGAAATTGTCTAGTTTGCACTAATATAATCCATGCAGTTGAATGCCTATTTGGAAGATCATTTCCAAGTGGTTAAACACCACCGATTATATTTCTTAGACGTAAAAGGTGACACAATTAGATCAAAAATAAAATCATCCAAAGCAAACCAATAGCAACGTTCGTAACTTTAGCATACAAAGATGCATGCACTGCTCTTTTTTATATGAAATAATGGAAACAAAAATTTGATCGTTGAATATAATTACAATAAACATCACACTATATTCCGTTAAAGTTGGGGTGAAGGGAATACCCAACACATGGTGACAAATATTCGAAAAGGAAGATAGAAGTAGTTTAGCAAATTAAAATGAGGCCACATTAGGAATTCAAGTATGCGCTCTAGCTCCGAAAGTTGACCATGGACAGAATTGAAAACTAGAATAACATAAGGGAAGTTTGGCGTATGATGCATCTTAAACGAATGTTAGAATTTGATAAACCAATCGGAACCATTATCATTTACATTAGGATGGGCTCTTGCATTTAGGGATGGCAACAAAACCCGAACCCACGGGTACCCACCCGACCCAACCCGGTCAACGCGGGTAAAATCCGTGTTGACGGGTTTTGGGCCGGGTTTGGGTTTAAACCCGTTTACTATTCATTGGGTTGGGTTTGGGTTTAGGTAAACCCGGCCCGTGGGTACCTGCCCACTCATATAATTAATTTTTTCGGTATATTTAATATTCTAAACAACTAATCTTATTTATGTTTGTGGAGACATGTCTATTTTTTTCTTTTTAATTGTGTAGAATGAAGTTGATGTTATGGAGTGGAGAGTAAAGAAATTAAATTGAAAGGAAGAAGCTTTCAATTAAACATGTTGTTTATGAATAATTTGTGATTTGCTTCAATTTTCTTGAGTTTTCTAGATTGGTGTTGAACAATTTGTATAGTTTATTTGTGATTTGCTTGAATTTTCTAGAATGGTGTTTTATATATGGATAATTTGTATTGAGAGATTGATATTTGACTTTAATTTTGATAAGAACTTGTAATTGTAAATTTTTTACGACAAAACCCGTGGGTACCCATGAACCCGCGGATACCCAACGGGTTGGGTTGGGTTTGAGTTTTTCAAACCCAGTGGGTTTTACCCCGGGTTTTTTTCAAAGATAAACCCATGGGTTTGGGTTTGGGTTTGGCAAAACCCGACCCAACCCGACCCATTGCCATCCCTACTTGCATTGCCCTTGATGGCTTGAATCTGAGCAATATTTTTAAGCAAAGATAGCTAGTGTGTCATTTACATTGAAGGTAACTTTTATATAAAAGTGAATTCAAATAATGGACAAACAAAGGCCAACCTCTAACCTAGTTGTAAGTTCAACAGGGGGAGTAGTGCAAAAGCTACTCCTTGATCTTATAACACCACTATATGCAAATTCTAACTACTGAGTCTTTTTATCTGGCAAGAGCACAAGCAAGCAGGAAGGATTGGAAAGGGCAGGTACTAAAAAAAGATACAATGCATAAGGCAGACCAAATAAACTTTTACACATAATAACACCTAACTTAATAATAGATAGATTAACAAACAAACAAATAAGAATTGTATAGATTTGTAGACGAAAGAGAACTACCTTTAAAATGTTCATGATAGAGAATAATGTTTGGATGGGGAATTGTGGCAACCTGACAACAAAAACAAAATCCTTGCCATCAGAACAAACAACATTAGTCCTCAAATACAGAAGAAACAAACACAATCTACTGGGAAAAGGCAACAATAAAGGCAAAAATACAACACAACAATGTCCTCAAAAAATAAAAGTAAAATGGCACAAAACAACTCCAAGTTTGGTTAATTACAAAAAAGCACCCTTTAAACATGCAAAACTCGTTGTCGACACAATAGTTTGTCAACACCGAATTCAACTTGCTTTATCTGGTTCGAATTAGGTCGAATACCTATTGATTTGGGTTGAGATCGGGTTCAATTATCATAAGAAAATTAAATACCTATTAATTTGGGTTGAAATCGGGTTCAATTATCATAAGAAATTAACTACAACCTTAATAGAAGAAAAAAACCTCCAAGCTTTATTTAATTACAAAAATAGCATCACAATTCACAAGTGAAGTGAATTTATGAAATAGTGGTTTTCTTGTTCTTTTAAAGAGTTAAATTTTTAAATAAAGTAGATGATCTTTTGTGCATTTTGTTAACTATCATTTTCTTGAGATGTTGATGATTTTGAGGTTGGTCAAAATAGATACTAACACCATCGATTATGTTATAATATATATTATAAAAGAAACAGTTTTTCTATTAGTTCGAATAATTTAATACTAAAACATTATACGTTGTTTTTCCCCGCATCATACGTTGTTTTAGTATCTCATTATCCGCATTATCTTCAATGGATATTGGACGGATAATAAAAGAAGGTTAGGATAAGTTCTCAATTCTAATTAAATTAGGCATCTTAACCAAATGAGACTCCTGATTAAAAGAAATGGCAATAATATTATCATCGTGGCCGATAAGACAGATACTTAAGATTTAGATAAGCCCCGCTCCTAAAAAGGATTTAATCCCAGTTTTTGGTACCTTCCGGCCCACGCTCCAATTTCCCCTTTCCCCATAAAAAGTAAAAACCATGATAATAACGCCAAATCCAAAGAAAGCAGTCCGGCCCCGCTTCTTTCCCGTTGCGCCACGTGGCACTCTCTGTCCCACAAAAACGATGCTTTTCCTCCGAAACCCGAAAACCGAGGGCCCAGATTTCCTTCCCTCGGGTTAACCTCTCCCAGCCCACACAAATTACGTGACACATTATTATTAGGACTCTCTCTCTAATTAGCAATTACGTCATTAATTAATTAATTATATTACTTCCCAGTCTCCTACCCAAAGAAAAGAACACTCTAATCCAGTCGTTATCCGCTTACTCCTCTTTCTCTTCCTCTCTCCTCGCCTCACTATATATATATAATCGGGTCTCACCGCTTTCTCTCCCCCACATTCACTCACTCAACCAAACCACGTTTTCCCCCTCTCTTCCCCACTGTTAGGTTGACCAGAAAACGCGAGGAAACCATGGATGTTGATCTCACCCCCAAGCTCCCCAAGAATGTCTGCGGAGGCGACGGTGGCTCCTACCAAGCCTGGTGCCCCGATGACCTCGGCATGCTCAAGCGCGGCAACATCGGCGCCGCCAAGCTCGGCCTTCAGAAGAACGGACTTGCTCTCCCTCGCTATTCCGATTCCGCCAAGGTCGCCTATGTTCTCCAAGGTCGGTTTCCTCCTTCAGATCTTCATTTTGTTCTGGTTTGCTTGCTTGCATGTCCGTTAATTAAGTCGATTCATCCCACCAATCCGTGAAATTGCAATTCGATTAGCCGATTTTCCCACCTTTACCCAACCGTTCTGAATTTTGATTTCTCGGGTTGATTTGATCTGCTAGAACTTGAATTGAATTTTGATCCAGATTGGAATGTGGATTTAATCCGTCTTTTTTGTTGTTGTTGTTGGGGTGTGCTGTTTTTATTGCAGGTAATGGAGTGGCTGGAATTGTTCTCCCGGAGAAGGACGAGAAGGTGATCGGGATCAGGAAGGGTGACGCCATTGCGCTCCCTTTCGGCGCGGTGACCTGGTGGTACAACAAGGAAGACACTGAGCTGATCGTCCTGTTCTTGGGGGACACCTCGAAGGGCCACAAGGCAGGTTCCTTCACGGATTTCTACCTCACAGGGACCAATGGCATCTTCACCGGCTTCTCCAGCGAGTTTGTTTCTCGGGCGTGGGATGTGGACGAGAGCACGGTCAAGGCGCTCGTCGGCAGCCAATCCGGAAAAGGGATCGTCAAGCTCGATGGTTCGATCAAGCTCCCCGACCCAAAGAAGGAGGACCGCGAACGCCTGGTCTACAACTGCGAGGAGGCTCCTCTTGATGTCGACATCAAGAACGGAGGAAGGGTGGTGGTGCTGAACACCAAGAACCTCCCCTTGGTTGCCGAGATTGGGCTTGGTGCCGATCTCGTGAAGCTGGATGGCGGGGCCATGTGCTCCCCTGGTTTCTCTTGTGATTCTGCCTTGCAGGTGACTTACATTGTGAGTGGAAGCGGCAGGGTCCAGGTTGTGGGTGTGGATGGCAAGAGGGTGTTGGAGACTACCGTCAAGGCTGGCCAATTGTTCATTGTCCCCAGGTTCTTCGTTGTTTCGAAGATCTGCGATCCTGATGGAATGTCTTGGTTCTCAATCATCACCACTCCAAAGTAAGTTCTTCCATTCCCTCCACTCAATTGTCTAACGAATTGGACGATCCAATCCCTTGATTTGGGTTCTTTTCTTGCTTGATTGCAGCCCGATCTTCACCCACTTGGCTGGACGGACCTCGGTGTGGAAGGCACTGTCGCCGGCGGTGCTGGAGGCGTCTTTCAAGGTGTCGTCGGAGGTTGAGAAGAAGTTCAGGGGAACTAGGACTTCTGATGAGATTTTCTTCCCACCGTCCAAGTGAGCGAGCTTCTGCGAGCTGTAGGCAGAGATAGACCTGCTGAACATTAGCCAGTGTCTCTGCCGATCAATCATTGCCATGAGAATAAATAAAGATAGGAATCAGTAAATTGTTAGGCTTATGTTTTTCTATTATTGTTTCGGTTTCCTTCTCTGTTTGCTACAGTCGGATTTCGGGTCCAGATTTTGCTGTCTGTTCGGATTTGACAATTGATTGGGATTCTCCGTGATATTGTGCATCATTTCCATATCTGTTCCTTTCACTTTTGTTTTAGTGAGGAACAAAGATAATATATTTTTCTGCCAAAAAAGAGAATCTATTTAACCATACCATTGCACATTACACAAGGAAGATACATCTCAATAGCTGCATACCTACAATAGAGGGTTAAGGCCCACATACAATGAGGATACCATCTCGTCGGGCCCTAAGCCCGCAATCCAAATTCTCTCTGAATTTCTAAACTCGCATCCAATGAAAGACGATGAAGGCTACTCGCGTCTGCTTCCATGATCCATCCACATTGGGCTTCAACCACCCGCTTCAGGTTTTTGCCAAATTGCACCTCTATTTGCAATCTCTTGTTAAAACTAGTTTTTAACTTCACAGATGCCAGTAAAAAAAAAAAATTAGTTTGTACCGTTTTATTTTTGTTGTTCAATTTTTACATATTTTTCAATAAGTTCGGATTTTCAAAAATAGTTAATTTATTATTTCAAAGTCATCTTTTTGGTATTTGTTGACTATGATATTAACGATAAGCAGTTAATATATACTTTTTGTCAAGTCGTTTTAGTATACTGTTGTGTATATGTTTTTTTCCATATTTTTGATTTTTTTTTTTGCATTTTTTATAGTTGGATGTGATTTCAGAGTTGGAAGGACATATGTGTCATTTAGCTGCAACTCCTAATAATTAATAGCTACAATCTCATCCTCCATTCGTTCCGCTTTCTCTTCCTCAGACTCAGCAATTAAACGCAAAACTTTTATCTGACACAAAAAAGCTTGAAGACTGAAATTTGAACTTCAACCAAACTCTCTGAAAGTCCTCAATTATTGATCGATTTGAGTCCATCATCAAAATTGAATCCAATTTTTTTTTTTTGTAGAATATTCGGGTTTTGAAGTATCAAAGATTGTCAACCTGTTAGCCCGTTGGCCCGGTCGAGTAAGTGGGTTGAGGGTTAATGGTCCAATAATTTTAGTCGGCTTTTTCCCGGATATATGAAAAAGTCACTATATTGTTCACACATTTATAAATTATATAAAATCTAATCTACATATGGATAATATACTATATAATATTACACCAACATAACAATACATATTTGGATCCAACATATAATGAAAATTCAAAACTCACTCATATCACATAAATATTCAAATATTCAACTTAGAATTCGAAAATAGGGTTAGGCGAAGGGATAAACCAAAATAGATGCGCAATTCGCAAACCAAATGGGAAAATGGCGTCGTATGACCTCCATCCCGGAATTCTTTTGCGAGTCGACCCAGTGGGTGTGTGGCGTCCGTTTTAATCACTTGGTCCAGATCAACGTTGGTTGGCAATCTTATCCCTATTGTAATGAAAAGAATGAGAAACCAAAATTTTAAATGTAGGCACATCAATATTGGGAGATATATTTTTACTTCAAGAGTCAACCTTATCCCAAAAATTTAAAAGTATGCCCATGTTTCAAATGGATGCATCTCACCCCTCTTGCAAATCGATTAAAGCTTCCTCGCCCGGACTAACTAAATTTTTCACTATACGCTGCTTTCCGATATCCTCCGTCGAGCTCCTAAAAAGCACGCCAACAACATGTGTTCATCGCGCAACTAAGATCACACTCTTATGACGACGGTGTGTCTCAAGTGTGGAATATAATGACTAATAAGGAACGCCCAACTGAGAATTGGGGGGGGGGGGGAGGGGACTTTGCGAGGGCAGACAATACGTGAGGTATGGAAGGCGAGTGTGTCTAAAGTTGGATTCTCTCTCTAAAATTTGGAATAGCACTTATCTCTCTAGAGCAGATCTTAACTTGACCTCACAAGGACTAATAGACCTAGAAAGGTCCGTGTGTGCGCATGTGCAGGTGACATAAGGAAACAACATGAAGTTTTAGGATCAGAGCTCTAATAAGGTGATTACCATAAAGTAGTGATAAATAAATGAATAAAAACCTTCCAAAGTTTACAATATTTGTTGGTAGTTTTTTATGGAAGTTTTTAGTTTTATTTTATTTAATAGGAAAAGAGAAATGAATGCATCGTTTGTTTATCCATCGTCATCCACTCAATTAGTTGTTAATAAAAGAGCCTATATCTTCTTCTTCACTTTCGTTTCTTCGTTTCCTAAGCCGCCGCCGGAGGTCTTCTGTAGATCTACCAAATTCTATTTCAGCGACCATCTAACTAACCCCCTATCCTTTTATTTAGTCCCAAACCCGTGATTTCATGATCTATTTCACAGTCCACATTCACGAACTCGTGGTGAATCTCTAGAAGTAGGATTTTTTTTTGCCACGCATCCAAATCTTCAACAACTTTGAAGATCTGGTGTCACATGTATCCTCTTCGTCTGTGCTCTTCAGATATTTGTCGGCACCACATTTATTTCTCTCTCCCTCTCACGACGAAGTAGTTCATCGTCTTCGAGCCAATGATTTGGTTGTAGCTTGTTTCATTTTACTCTGTTTATAAAGAGAGAAATCTCTCAAATAAGTGATACATGAAATAAATTTTGTGAACTTTGATAGTCAATGCTCTGATTTTTAGTTTGAGCTACAATTTATGGGTTTTGGAAGTTTGCAGTTTCTGTAAAATAAACTTGACCTACTGACGGATTCAAGTACAAAATCCGAGCGAGGAAGAAGAGATGGACGACACTACTTCGTCGGTGGTTTTGCGTCCGTCATTCGGTGAGACCAACTGAGCAAAAAACTTTGCAGGCTTCGCAAACCAAATGAACGGAAGATTATTTCTTTCACGAGCCACAACATACTCCTGGACCATAAATTGGGCAGCCGTCCGCAACCAGCGCCCAAAATTTCCCTCATCCCAAAATATCCCTTCCGAAAATCAAATGAACGGAAGATTATTTCTTACAATATTTGTTTGTAGTTTTTTTATGGAAGTTTTTATTTTATTTAAGAAGAAAAGATAAATGAATGCATCGTTTGTTTATCTACCCTCATCCACTCAATTAGTTGTTAATAAAAGAGTCTATATCTTCTTCTTCCCTTTCGTTTCTTCGTTTCCTAAGCCGACATCAGTCAATCGGTGAGGCCAATCGAGCAAAATTTTTTGCAGACTTCACAAACCAAATGAAGGAAGATTATTGTTTTCATGAGCCACAACATACTCCTCGACCACACATTGAGCCGCCGTCCGCAGCCAATGTTGGAAATGAATGAATAGTTTTGACAGCTATAGAGTCTCAAGGTGGAAAAACTACCACATTGGTAGTTTTACTTGGTGAAATGTGTATAAAGATAAGAGCCTCTCTCTTAAGGGCATGCCCCTTGGGATGACCCACTTTTGTGGAGGAGGGAGGACCTAACGGACCACCAGACACTTGACTCGCACAGAACTACACCACAAATTAATCCTGACTAGAGTAAAAGTTTTTAAACTCTAGCCGGGTGCAGTATAGAGCAAGTATTTAAATTATCAACCCGGGTCGATCCATGTACCCCTACTTCAATCGCTTAGGTTGTTATCTAGCAAGAAACTTTTGGGTTTATAACTAATGTAACTACAAACTAAACAAGCAAGGAAAAGTAAATAAAGGAAAACTCTAACTAAGGGAGCTTCACCTAGGAGTTGCTTCCCCCCTAACTGGCTACCATGACTCGTTGGATTGAATGAAGTCATGTGGCGTAGGTGGTTATGAACCGCGGGGGTGAGCAACTAGTGATCAATCTGTCATGGAATCAATTCACTAGCGATCGATTTGTCACGGGATCGATCCATTCACCAAGTCTAGGGGGAACCGCTAGGAGGAGCAACTAGTGATCTATTTGTCACGGGATGGATTCGCTAGAGATCGATTGGTCATGGGATCGATCCTCTCACTCAGGCTCTAGTGGTTGCCTAGGTATCTCCCTCAAATCGGAGTTTGAGCGGCTTAATCACAGCCAACCTAGATGCAAACTGGTAACTGCGAACCGCAGAGGGATGCAAATATGGTCGTAGACCACAATCTCGATTTTTAAACCGAGGTAATCATTATGGGCCGTGTCACTCGGCCCTCTCGGTTTAGGAAATCGGTGGTGACTTACTCCCTCAGTCAACTCAAGGTTGGACGGCTTAATCATACTTAACCAATTTGCTTAATTCAACATTGAGGTTTGCCCTAAATTAACCTAGGTTAAAGTGGCTAATTAGATTGCTAAGCACCAACATGCACAAACCTAAGGATGCTAAGCACAATCATGCACAATCCTTAGGTTTCTAAGCACAAAAATGCACAAACCTAAGAAGCTAAGCACAAAACATGCACAACCCTTAGATTGCTAAGCACAAACATGCACAATCAACATGAATAATACATCAATCATTGAATTAAACAATACCCAATGACAATCATTCAATCTAAACAAGTAATTACAAAGTATTAGTTAGGGATCTACAACACCCAAGAGAAAAGAGTGAGTTTCTAGAGAGAGAGAGAGAGGGATTACAAATTTGAGCTCAAGATCTTCTTCTTCTTCTAGGCTTGAATCTTCCACCCAAGCCTCCAATGATGCTCCAAGATCACTCTAGCACTCTCTCTCTCTCTCTCTCTCTCTCACTAGAACTCCCCTTTGGTATTTTAGGTTGAAACCTTAGAGAAAGAAAGTGTTTTTTCTCAAAAAACCAGCTCCCCTTTCTCTCTCCCCGCTGTTGTCTTCATATTTGCCCGAAAGTGACCAGTTCACGGACGCGTTGGCCAGTTCACGGCTGTGAACACCTAAACGCGTCTGTGAACTCAGCGTCTTCCAAAACGCACCGCTTCACTGTCCCGGGTTCACGGTCAATGGCCACAATTCACGATCTTAGCGAACGTGAACTGCCTTGTCGTCGGTAACTTCAGGAACCTCGCTAGACGCCTCGATATTCACGGTTTGTGGTCTAAGACCGTGAACTACCTCGTCTGGCCGTGAACTGCGTCTGTTTCCTGGGACGTCTTCACTTCACTATTACGAGGCAATTGTCACGGTGACTTTTCTTCGGTTTTTGCGCTTTTTGACCTCCAAATATCCTAAAACTCGTCCTCGACCTTCCACACGTGCTAGGACCCAAAATGTATCAAAAAAAGCACAAGCTAGCGTGAAATATGTCGAGGAACGATGAAATACTAAGC